GTTGGTCATTTCCTTGTCGGCAACGGCCGGAAGGTGTCTGAGTTGGTAGTGCATCTGCATTAGACAAAGAGGTTGCCCCCTAACTCATTTAAGTTGGTGCATTTCTCATATAGTGTGAATTCTGTGAACTTTTTTTGGAGTTGTTTCCTTGGCGGTATTCTAGACTCGAGTATACATCGACGAGGACGTCGATCTTCCCTAGGGGGGGAGAGTGTTGTGAATGTGACTTCGGGTATCGAAAGTTACCTGTCGACTAGTCTTTACAGACACTCTTTCCTTACTGCCACGATGGTAGGAGGTCAGTATTGCTAGTTCCCTTTATCAGCCCCTCTTGTTCAAGTGTTAGTAAATTGGGCTTAGCACCTGTACTTAGCCAGATGGACATAAGGTAGGAACTCCTATGTGTTTCTAGCTGAGCATACTTGGCTTGGCTCTTAGTTCTCTTTTGCTCTGTCTTGCATTGGCTTGACAAAAATCCCCGTGTATTGAGATTGGTCCCTTAATATCACTGGATGATAGCTTACCATGTCTGCCAAACACCCTTGCTATCATGCCTTTTGTGTTAGTCTTATTTTGGTCCCAAATGCTATTTATGGAAAGTGTTTAGATTTGCTCATTTGGCATATTTATGGAATGTATGGTGTTCGTCCCGTGTCCAAATTTGCAATCTAGTGCTATTCTATATTTAGTAAGTTTTGAGCTTGTCCCAGAGACTAACTCCTGATACTAAGGGAGGCTTGGGGTGAAAGCCCAAAGCATGTGTTTGTGAGACACAAATCCCTAAGCCCCAAAATGGAGCCGAAAGGGTGCCACGTGGTAGTGGCTGAAGCGAATGCCAAACGAGCGTAACACGTTTGGACTAAAAGTTCTGACTTGAAAGGTCAAGAGCGGGAGTGGAACTCATAATGAAATGCTCAAGGAACAAGCACAAAGCGAGCAATAAGTGAGTCTCTAAAAAAGGGACACAAGAGGACTAACATATGACACGTGGAGGAGTCCGAGATGGGCCCGAAATAGAGTCTGAGATGGACCAGAGATGGAGTTCGAGATGGAGTCTGAGATGGACCTGAGATGGAGTCTGAGATGGACCTGAGATGGAGTCTGAGATGGAGTCCGAGATGGACCCAAGATGGACCCAAGATGGAGTCCGAGAAGGACTCGAGATGGAGTCCAAAGTCAAGACCGAGACCGAGACCAGGACCGAGACCGAGACCGAGCCTAAGCCCGAGTCTGAGTCCAAGTCCGAGTCTAAGTCCAAGTCCGAGTCTAAGTTCGAGTTCGAGTCTGAGAGGATGAAAGCCCAAAGCGTTCGTCTCCCAGACCTTGGAGGGTTTGGTGAGCTCTAAAAGTATAGTAGGGGGGAGGACTCCAATGGAGCCAATTTGGCCAGGAAAGTCCAGTTTGGTCCAGGAAGGCTGTACCTAGGTGTTGGGTGATGGGATAACCATTGGGAGGTCCAAGGCTAGAGTGAATATGGACTGTCAAACAGGTAGCTTGGTGAAGTGTTCAAGAGCTGGCTCTAGTTCCCTCGGGAGATCAAATGGTCGATGCTCCTAGTCCAAGTGTGGTGGCACTACCTACTTGGATATTTGGCATAGCTCAATGGAACCTTGCTCTAAGCCCATGGCTAGAGCACCCAAAGGCGGAAAGTGGGGAGAGTACCCACGAGGCTCACATAAAGCCACGGTGTTCCGAAATGTTGTCCCAAAGTCCCAAATTGTAGAATGGAAGAGGAGTAGTTCTCTAGTGTGGTGACCAAGGATACGGTCATGTGGTGAGAAAGTCCCAGAGGATAATGGGACTTAGTGGTCGGGCCTGTGGGCCTTGTCCCAGTGGCAAAGTAGGCAAACTCGGCCATAGACAAAAAAGGGACTTGGTGGGGACTGTGAAAGGGATATTAGGGAAGGCAGTTCCCCCTGTCTGTGGGCATCTGAAGGATGTTAAAGAGTGGATTTTGGATGGTCACTCTTGGACGGATGGCTCAGTCGTTGAGAGACGGGATTGCGATGCAGGTGGTGCTAGACCACTGGTGGTACCAAGGTGAATGGGCATGGCCTTAGTGTAATGGGCTGGTATGTCGGTGGTACCTTGAGGTGTCGATTTTGGGACTGGACAAGTGGAGCACTTGGACCAAGTGCAAAAGATGAGTGGTATGGATGCCATTCTTGGGGCTAGCAAGTCCTAAGTCTTGAATTGGACTTAAGGAGGTTGTGAATGAGACTCCTCCAAGTAGTCGGAGGTGTGGTTATGTGATTAAAGTAGGATGGAAAAATTAGTCGCTTACAGTGTTCCTCAAGGGGGGGCGGGAGGGGGCGGGGGGGGGTTCCAAATGTATAGTAGGGATAATGGGTAGGTCGGGCATGGCCGACCAACCTGAGGCATAGTCTAGCTCTTGCTTGCGTGCTTGTCTTTGTTCTGTGTCCAGCTTGGGTCTAAGCCCAAGCTCCACTCCATGCTAGCTGGTGGAGTACCCATGTCTTTGCGTTAGGCCACCGATATGCTGAAATAGTGCCAGACTCTGTTTAGCTCTGTTTTGAGTGTTGGTCATGGCATTGGGATGCTAAATACTCTAGGACTGTTCCAAGTCGCTCCATGCCCCTGTCCCTTCGTTCCTTGGGCTGTATGCTCTGGAGTTGCTTTGTGATTTGGTTCCATCACTCCTTGGCTCCATGCTTGGGAGTTTGGTACCGTTCCTTTGTTTAGTGGCCCAAGGCCCTGAAACTTGGGTTCCACACCATTGTCCTTTGGACATATAGTATGTGACATGTGGCATTTGTCACGTGGCACAAAGAGGGTTTAAGTTTCGCTTCGTGGTGTTATCCTATGGTAAATCACCATAGGATAAAGGGTCAAAACCACATGCGCTACAATAATAAAGGAGCTCTTCTGATAAAATTGAGCTTGGAAAGTGAACACTAGATGAACTGGTGTAAAGTGAACCTTTTGATGAAAGATGAAGAGAGGGGTCATTAACTTATTCACGCAAGATCCCTCCATTACTTCTACAACTCCTCATTTCTAAATCTCAATGTCAAAACCTTTCACTGCAACAACATTAACAAAACAATATTGACATTAAAAATGTCAATCCGGTAAATGTTGATAATGTTAATATATGTTTATTACACACCTAACAACGAATATCATGGCCACAACCACGTTTTTGTCTAGTGTCAACCTCCATTGGAACTAGATCATTTCTCATGGGAAGTGGAGATGAAGCATGTGCAACTATAAGTGGGAAAGGTGATGTTATATAGTATGATATCAGTTTAAAAGCATTGTCAAGAGTGGTTTGGGCAATTGCCTGTACATATCTCATAAAATTTTGACATAGTGTTGACCACAACATACCTAACTTGATACACTGACATATTCAGCTCCACATGAAGCAAGAGAATTCAAAAGTGAACACAAAATTGTATAATTGATTTAGATGATACTTGATATAAATGATGTAATTGCTAGAAGATATCATCACAGTCATCAGCATGTCTAAATGTGCATTTGAAAATATCCAAGATAACACTTTAATCTATATGATTGTACCACTGCAATACCATGGGAAACTCATATAGACACTAGCAAGAATGATAAATAACAATCATTGTAAAGTGATTGAACCAATAATACATATAATCCCTAAGATTCCTATAGAAGAAATTTAGCTGAACATGAATATTGGTAGTAAGAACAAGACACCACATGTTATGAATACCACTATTAATTAAATTTGATTGGTCAATTACAATTGCATAGTATTGAGTAACTATACCAATTGTTGCACTAGCATTAGAGGAGTATGCTAAAATGGAGAAACAAAAAAGAAGTATTGAAAAAGTTATAAGAATAAAGATATCTACACAATGCAAAAGTTAAATCTAAAATAAATGTAAAAACTATATTTAAAACAAATTTAAACATCTCAATTCCACCAATAAAACCCTAATTTATATATAAGAGCGAATGGTTTTAATTTTAATTGAAACTAATCTGATGGTTATCAAAATTTGATTAAAACCAATCTGATAAGTATCAAGATTCTATTACACTAATGATAATATGGCATTGTAACTATATCACTAATGATAATAAACAATAATATATTTATTTGAGACAATTATTTAAAAATCATGACTAGACCATCCAAATAAGTATATAATGGTTAACTTTGAACTATCAATACAGATATTCACCTCTAACAAAGGTTGTAACATACGAGGGCCTTACCCGGTTACACCGAGGCACAGGTTGCGAGCACGGGGGTACACCGTCGCGGCCAAAAGTCTTCTCCACGTAAACCTTGAGCTCCTTCTCGATTTTCGCCGACAGCTCGAACTGATCCTGCTTGTTGAGGCAATTGATAATGGTCCTGTAGGTGCGAACGTTGGGGGGAGCCTCCGAGTCCTTCATCATCTCGAACACCTTGAGCGCATCTCGGAAACGCCCCGACCCAACGAAGATGTCGATCACTTCCGTGAACATGGCAATGTGAGGCTCGGCTTTCTCTTGCTTGATCGTTTCGAAGAGCGAGTAGACGCCTTCGACCCTCCCGTTCCTAGCGAGAGACTTGAGCATGTCTCGGTAGAGTGGAACGCTGGGTTTGTACCAGACTTCCTTGCGTGCTCTCTCAAAAACCTGTAACACCATCTAGATCAACGCCAAGAAGAGAGAACGAGAAAACAAGGACTTACTTGGAAAGCTAGATCCACTTCGTCGTGTCGCTGGAGCGCATGTAGCAGCGCCAATAGATCCAACTTGACAAGCCGGCCGACTTTGGAAGCGAGCACCTCTTGGAGCGCTTTTGAATCTCGCTTGGCCAGTTTCAAAGCTGCCGCGGCTTGCAACGCCTCGGAGCCGAGATCTTTCTTCCCTCTCCACAGAGGGGCTCGTAGCAGCGATCTCTGTGAAAATGTAGCATACCCAGATACCTGTGCTTTGCTCCCAGCAATGATCTTGGGGAGCATCCCGTGAAACCCTAGTAGAAACTCTCTGGTGTGAGAGGGGGAAAAAAGGACTATACATTCGATAAGTTAGTACAATTGGAAACCGAGCAAAGCTCACCCTGGAGCAGACAAAATGCGTTTTTCTTCTTGGTTCTAGAAAAGGAGACCCTCTACTTGATTGTGTAGCGAAGGTGCTGCTCGTAGAAATCGATCAACTGCAACGAGCAGTCAAGCGAGAGTGAAAAAATGTAAATTTTGATCGATAAAACGTACCAAAAGTGGGAAATGCTGCCTCAAAAACTTGTTATCCACCACCATCTCTTTGCCATCCGACCTGTAGTAATAAGTTAGAAAATACCGAGAGAGGAGAAACAAAAGAATCAAACCTTAGCGTGCTGAAGAGGACCAAAACTTCTTGCTTGTCGTTCTTGATGGAGCTTGAGTAGCTGAGCGGCTTTAAAATCTTGACGACCGGGACAAAGTTCGCTGATTTGGACGATGAAAGCTTCTGGACCCGCTCCGGGGAGGAGAACGCCCTCTTGGTGATGTCCGAGCCTGGAAACGACGACCGATACTCCTGGAGTTGCATTTTCTCCGCCATTGTTCCTGACATTGCCGCGGCTCGTATGGTGAAACCGCCGTCGGGCGTCTTCTTCACTTCCTCGTAGAGATGAGCGTTCTCGGAGTCTTTCTCAGGCAGCGGTGCCTTCGTGTCCTTCGTTTCGGACAGCTTCACTCGACGGACAGTCCCTGCCTTTCTCTTCTTAGCTCCCGTGCACCGGGTGCTTCTACCCGTGTTGATCGTGTCTTCCGGCACCTCAGCCACATCTGGCTCATTGATAACGTGCTTCTCGACAGTAACTTCCGGAGAGCCGCTCGCCAGCACGCTTTCGTCGCAGATCACCGAGCTTGCCACCATCACCTTCTCATGGTTGTCGTTAAGCCCGGCCTCGACGACTTGTTTGTCAACCGGCGTAGAAATGGAGTCGCCAGGCTGCTTGCTTTTGTCTTCCTCCGAGTTAAGTTTGTTTGAGTCTCCGACTTCCGTTGTCGCGGCCAGCATCATCGTCTCGTCGTCAACTTCGTTGCCACTGGGAGAGAAGTTCTCGGGATCGTCACCGAAGCTTTCGGGGTCGCCACCGGGAAAATTGAGAAGAGTTTCGGCCGCCTCTGCCGCTGGTGAGCCCGTACCATTGGTTACATTCGCAGCAACATCGTTGTCCGACCTCAGGCTACCGTCTATCGAGGAAGAAACGGCCGACTGACTTGCCTCGCTCGCCGAGAAACTCGCAAGCTTCTTCTTCCGAGCTGAAGCATTGGAACCACCTCTCTTCCGCTTTCCACCATTCGTTTTCCTGCACACCAACCTACATCAGCTCTCGCTCGCAAGACCTCAAAAGGAAAAAGTTTCACTTACCTCCTCTCAAAATCTTCTACAATGTCCTGGCACTGCTCTAGGTGCTCGAATGGCTCCCAGGTATTGACGCTTTCAGGCCAGCCTCGCCTAAACAGACAAACATAGAAAAACCAAAAAGGAAAAACGAGGATGAACATAGTGTCGATAAAGAGACAGGAAAAACTTACCATTTTATGAGATACTGTGGCTTTCCCTAAAAACACGAAAGTCTCAGTGTCAGATCTTCCAGAGCGGGAAAAAAAAGAAGTACCTTTCTTATCCTCCTCTTACGTATCGCTTCCACCTCGTAAAACCCCTCCCTCAAATTTTTCCCGCTCGGCTCCTCTCCGCGAGGCTCTTCGTCTTCCTTTTTCCCTTCTTCGTCTTCGTCTTCGTCTTCTTCTCCCCTAGCTTCCAGCGTTTGCTCGCTCGCAGCAGCCCCACTGGCGATAATCACAAGCTCTTCTTGAGCCGGACCATTCCCGTCAATTAGCTGAACTTCGGCTGCTTCCATCGGCACCTCCTCGCAGCCCTGGCCATTTCGTTCTTCCGCGGCTCCATCACCGTCGCCGTGATCCAAGCAGCCCGAGAGCTCGCCCGCATTCTTCATTGCGGTTGCCGGAGCTCGCCGGAGCTCGCCGGAGCTTTCGGCGCAACCCTACGCGAGGCCTACCTCGTGGAATGGAGAATCAGGGCGCCATGGAATCGAAGCTCCTCCCCGCATAGCTCCTCCTGCCCTAAGCTTTGGGAAGTAAAATCTTGGAGTTTTAAATTTTCTCCTGGAGCAATCCAGGCCGTTGAATTTCGCACGATCCCGATGCCTGGTTTAGCCTAACTAGGTGGCTTGTACTAAATAGACGTTAACCCTAATAAACTATCTTAAACTAAAGGTATCTTTAGGCCAACCCTAAATCTTTGTCTTTGTTTTGGCACCTTTTTAAGGCTCCTGTTTAAGTTTTAAGTTAAGAAAGCATAAGGAATCTCTGGTCTATCCATCTAACTTATTTAAAGGCCTTTTGGTAGTGTCCACAACTTTGGAGCTCCACTTTGTTTGTGGGTTGGCTTGTTGACTGCCACGATCGCGCAATTCAATGAACTTTCGCGAAGAATCCAATCACGAAGAGGGAGTAGAGAAAGAAAAGAGACCAAACACCAAAAGAAAGAATTGTTACATGAGTCACTATCGATCTGGGCGAATCCTCTAGTTGTAGATAAGATGATGGAGATAGATGGGATTGATCTTCCGTCGTGTTCTTCAGGGAGAAGAGGCCGGAGTGGCGAGTGTGAGCTCGAGCCTGTCCACGATCCTGACGGCGGCGTCTCCCAGATTGTGGGCAAGAACAGATCCTCCAGGCGGCGGCGGTGGCGGCGAGACGACCTCGCCGTTGTTGCTACTGTTGTTAAACACGACTCCACACATACTCGAGCAAGGGGAAGATTGCGTCCCTCCTTGCCGGTGATGGATCGGGGAGGAATCGCACTGGTTGTGATTGAGATTGATCTGGTGCTGCTGCTGGTGTTGCGGCTGCTGGCGCGGTGGAAATGGCGGAAGCTGGTGCTGATTCGCGGCGAAATTGGCGTAGCCATAGTTTGGAGTGACCGATCCGGAGTAGTCCGGAGTGGCGGAGCCCGAGAACCAATTCGAAGATCCAGCGCTGCCCCCGACTCGCATCCCATTCACCCATCTCCCAGTGCTCTCGCGATACCGGCTCCAGAACTCGAGCGCCGAGTAGTCCGAGTCGCCCACGTCCGACACCGGTGTGTCGCAGCCACCATCGCCGCCGCCACCGCCGCCGCCAGTACCGCGCGGTACCGACGACGTTATAAACGTCGGCGTGACGCACGCGTTGTCCCAGTCGGGCTTGAGTGACGCGGCGGTGCCCGCGGCGGCCGCGCGGGGCGAGTCCAGCGGCGGCGTCACGGGAGCGCTGTGGTGCCAGTGTAGCGGCGGGAGCGCGGTAGCGGCGCCGCCGGGATTGCTCGGCCCACCATTCGTGGAGAGCCCGTTTAGCCAACCGATGAGCGAGGATCTCTCAGTGAGCGCGCGGTACGAGGAGGAGGTGGGGCTGGCGGGGCCGGAGGCGCACGCGTCCAGTCTCTCCATCGGCCTGGATCCCTGGAGCGAGACCCCATTTAGAGATCGAAGAACACGAAGAACACGAAGAACACGATACCTTTCGATACGTGGTGCCATCGTCCTCCACAACCCATCCCGCCTCGCGGCACAGCGCCTTGAGCACCTCATTGTTGTCGCAGTGCTTGGGGAGGTTGTAATTCCCCAGCTGCCGCAGCCCATTGAAGATCTTGGCAGCTATGGCGCGCCGCCGCCGCTCCCGCCGCTTGTTGTTCTCGCGCTCCCGGAATGTGGGTGTTCTGGACCCCGAGGTCATCGCCCAAATCCTCCCTTCTTCTTCTCGCCCTCTCTCTCTCTCTCTCTCTCTCTCTGTGTCTCTGTGATCGATCGATCGCTCAATCCATTTCCGGCACCATCGCCATCGCCCTCGCCATTCCTAGCATGATCTAGGCGAGCATTCTACACGAAAGATTCTTTCCCATTTCTTCTCAGGCGCCTTTCGGAGTGCTCGGAGACACACACCCAACTACACGACAGCCGCCACGTGGACATTAATCCCCGCCCCCGTGGCACACCCCGTGCTTTATGACATGGGCGGGGCACACACACGTATGGCTCGCACGCTCCCCTGACATGACGTGTAATCGATTACACACGTCAGCAGCACGTGAGGAACGGCCCACTCCCCCACCGCCACGTGTCCGTTGCTAGCCACCACCACCACCACCACCGAGCATTGGCCGGACACTCGGCGGGTGGTCACTTCGGCTACCCGATACCAGCGTCCGGTAGCAAAGCACCGAGTAGAACTCGGGCATGAGCTCGGTCCTCCACTCCGGCCCCAACAGCGCAAAGTGGCGATCGCTAACGCGATGGTAGCACTGGAACCACAGGTAGCGCAGCAGCGGTAAGCCCCGGATGCCACACACGATCGCGGCGTCGCTAAACGGGCAGTTCCTCACCTCCAGCTTGCGGAGATTCGAGCACCCTCTTGCCAGACTGACGAGCCCGCGGTCCGAGGTGTCCGAGTCGCTCAGGCAGCCGAGAAGGATCCACTTGAGCTGCTGCCCGAGTCGCCCGATGCTCTCCAGGCCCCTGTCCGTGAGCCCGCCTTCCTTGAGGTAGAGTGCCAACTTGGTGATGCTCGGGCAGCGCTGGAGCAGGGACTGGACGCCGGCGTCCAGTGGCTCGGCCATGTCCGGCGCGGTCTCGAGGATCCCCAGCCGGAAGTCGAGCAGGCCCGGGCACGACTCCGCGAAGGCCTCCAGGGACGAGTTGGCGGCGTCGTGGACGTACATGGAGAAGCTCTGGAGATGGACGCAGCTCTTGGCCAGCGCCAACATGCCGGAGTTGGAGATCGAGAAGCCGTGCTGTTCTTGCTGCCTCATGTTCTCGATCCGGATGCGTTGCAGGCCTTTGCAGTGGCTTGCGAGGAGCTCCAGCCCGACGTCGCCGATTATATCTCTTGCCTGTCACGGTTCGTCAGTACACCTTTGAGTCACCATCGCAAGAACAAGAGCTAGAAAGTCCATGCCAGGAAGAAAACTTGCCTTAAAGACTTGGAGATTGCGACAGCCCTTGATGATCTCCAGGTGTTGCTCGTGATTGGCAGTGGTGTACAAGAGATCCAGACTGGTGAGCGCGCTCGCGAGATTCGGCTCCATTGCCAGCTGGAGATCACCAGAGAAAGAGCTCAGTGACGATGGTAAAGAGACTTGAATGAGGCCGCAGAAACCGAGCTCCTGGAGGGAGCTTTGTCGCAAATCCAGCCTGCGATTGCGAGAAGGGTCCTCCAGATCGTTGAGTTTCAAGCTCTTGAGCTTGGAGCTGCTCACGATCTCCTCGACCAGCCGGATATCTCCAAGTTCCAAGCCTGTCATGGACAGGTTTAAGGCCTCGAGGCTAGCGCACGAATGGATAAGCTCACGCAGCCACTGTGATCCTTTGTCCTCGATATCGCTCTCGTCCAGCGAGAGCACCCTCAAATCCCTGCGGGAAATCTTTGTTTCATTCATTCATTGATCGGGGATTTCTAACGTACCTGCACGATCGAGCGATGGATTCCAGGCCCAGCGATGAGAATCCGGAGCATTTCTCGAGCTTGAGAACCTGTAGCGCGTCGCGGAACGTCTCGGCCAGGAGCGCCAGATCCTCGTCGGAAATCTCCATGCGCTTGAAATGGAGCGAGGCGAGAGCGCCATACAGGGATCTCGCCCTCGCCAGCGCCAACGCGGCGATCCAGGGGCCGCCATAGCCTCCCCAGTCGACTGGAATGAGCCCGAAGTCGCTAGCCCTAGGCTTGCCTTTGATCTTGAGCGCGCGCAGCTGCCCGAATCGATCGATCACGTAGCCCGGGCTCACGGCGTAGGAGAAATTCACAGTAATCTTCTCCCTGGTGGCGCTCTCGGCATCGCGCCACTGCCGGCACACCCGCGCGACGCTGGCGTGGTCTTGATTGTCGCCGAGGCGCGAGAAGATGATCTTGAGGAGATCGTCTGGAAGGCGGCTGTTGATGCTGTCTGGATCATCATCGGCGTGAATCCACCGCCTGGAGATCTTCATGGAAGCCATAGCAATTCTTCTTTCTTTTCTAGTTCTTTCTACCTAGTCTTGGGTAGTAGTTACTTCTCCCTCTTATATCATGATAGAATATTCGCATACCTATTTACTTTTAAAAAGAAAAGATGCTTTGATGTATGACACATCCGGTAATGGGGGGGACACATACGTTTGATCATAAGCCCTAAAAGGATATTCTATTTGAAATCTTAGGGTTTATGGGCTATGGCACTGTGTAGCTATTCCACTCCGGCTCGGAATTTGGGGTTCTTCGCTCCGGCCAGGCGCGCCGCGGCCAAGAATGTGGCCATTGGATTGCGGCTTGGCAGATCTTCGCTGGCGCGCGCGGCATTGCGGAACGATTCATTGCCGAAGAAGAAGCATCAGCAGACGGAGGATTTGCTCGCGGAGCTCGAAGGTGAGGGGAATTGGATGGGATTTGTGGCGCTGACAGGAGATTTTAGATGAAATACAACCGTTTCTGGAGCTCCAGCGCGAGAGCGCCATGCGTTTACGCACAAGTAAGATTTTTTCCTTGTTCTTGTCTTCGTGTATTCTTATCGTTTTCTACTTTTTTCCTGCGATTGCAGTGAAGCATTACGAGATCATGTATCTAGTGCACGAAGCGAAAGTTGGAGAGCTCAAAGAGATCGTGGATAAATTCACTGGTTAGCTACAATGTTCGTGTTTTTCCTTCTTGATTGAAATGCTGCTCCAGGTTTTGTCAAAGAGAAGAAAGGGAGGATCTGGAGATTCAATGACTGGGGGATGAGAAGGCTGGCGTACAAGATCAAAAAGACGTGGCACGCGAACTATATCCTGATGAACATCGAGGTTGGGTCCGAGTATATCAACGAGCTCAACGCACTCCTGGAGAAGGACGAGAGGATCATCCGGCATATGATCATCACGAGAAAGAAGGCCATCTCCAAGAAAACGGTGCCTCCGGAGGAGCTTCCACCGTCGCGAGCGGAGCTCTTGGAGAAGGAACTGGCGGCGGAAACGGCCGCCGAGGAGGCTGCGGAGAAAGAAGAGAAGGAAGCTAGAGTTGCGAAAAGGAAAGCTAGGAGGGAGGAAGCAGCAGCAGCAGCAGCAAAAGCAAAGGATGAAGTGAAGGAAGATGAAGTTGAAGTTGGAGAGGAAGATGACGACGATTTGGAAGATTTGGATCTATCAGCATTGAAAGAAGAGGATGAGATTGAAGACGAGGAGGACGAGATTGAAGACGAAGACCATGAAGAAGATTTTGACGACGACGAAGACGATAGTGAAGAGGACAGTGAAGTGGAAGACGACGATGAAGAAGAAAACGAAGACAGTGCGAAGGCACAGCCAAATCAAAACCCACGAAAAAGGTGACGAAGATTATCGAAAATTTTGTTCGGCTTTTAAGCCCAGTTAAGTACAAAACTTCGAGAGAGAGAGTTCGCTTTTAGCTGCTATTCACTCTTTAAATCTGCAAGAGAAAACTGCTTATGAAGCACTCGAGCGTGCAATACTTCTTCGTGTTTTCTCGCGTGAGGATTTAGATTCGAGTCTACCTATGGTCAGCACCAATTGCTTCCTGGGCAGACTTGAATCCATCTCTTTCAAGGCAAGCTGCTAACTCGGCCTGTGAAAAAAAAAAAACCAAACAAAACACTTGTAAAACACTGAATGGTCTCACGTACTTTGATTCGGGGTATAAGCGCTGGGCCTTCATATGCAAAAGTAGTATACAGTTGCACAAGAGTGGCACCCGCTCGAATCTTCACGTATGCCTCTTCTCCACTGAAATATAAAAACTAAGGACCAAGAAAAAAAAACATTCTTTTCACTGGAGAACATACCTGCTTATACCGCCACAGCCAACGAGTGGAATTTTACCCTGTGAGAAAAGAATCAGTTCTGGTCAAGCCTCGAGATTCGCACACACTCACCCACGTAAGCTGGTACATTTCTCGAAGAACCTCCGTGGATAAGGTGAACAAAGGCTTCCCACTAAGGCCCCCCATTTCATCCACGTGAACGAGACCAATGACTGAGTCGGGTCTTGAAACAGTCGTGTTAGCGATTATCTGGAAACATCACAGTACCGGTAAAAAGAAAGCTCAAACAGAAAAGCGCAGGGCTCACCAAGCCATCCAATCGTAGCGAAAGTGCCACCTAAAGGGAAGAGAATCAGCTGAAAAGCAAGAAGATAGTTTAAGGAGAGAGTTTGACGTACAGCGGCAATATCCGCAAGATCTTGCTTTGACAGGTCGGGAGCGATTTTCACGAGTAGCGGCGGAGGGCCCTCTTCACCCCACTGCATCTCATCTCGCGCTGCCAAAACCTGGAAACGAGTTTAAGGTTGGACGAGATTCTCAAGTTACCTTCTTGATCAAGTCCTTGAGCTGCTTACGGCCTTGAAGTTTTCTCAGCCCGGGTGTGTTTGGCGATGAAACGTTTATTACCTGTGAAACGATCCTCTGCATCAATAACAAACATAGATTTCTTTCCGCAAAACGTACCAAATAGTCTGCATATTGAGACAAGGTGTGCACACCTTGGACATAGTCTGCCGCGGCATCTTCGCTAGTTTTGTTTTTACCCAAGTTTACCCCCAAAATCCCTGGACCAGCCTTGCCACCAAGAACACGTTGTTCCGCGTTCGTCGTTATGGCCGAATTTACCGTCTCGGCCATCCTACGTTTACCGTGTTGTGCTCCTAACCTCTTCGCTACTGCTACGATTCCCTCGCTATTAAAACCGTATCGATTGATAATAGCACTGCAGCGGGAAAGAGAAACAAAACGAAGTTGTGAGAAACAACGAAGAGTAAAAGCGAAGCACCAAACATGAAAAAAACAAAAAAAAGAATGACGTACTTGCTTACCCCTGTTCCGGTAATCTGAAAACTCTCGGTTTGGGATTGCCTTCTTGCGGGACAGGAGTTACGGAGCCAACTTCCATAAATCCGAATCCTATGCCAAGCAATCCCTCGACCGCCTCGGCGTTCTTGTCGAAACCAGCGGCAAGTCCGACTGGATTTGAGAAGGTTCGCCCCCAAACACTCACTTCCAGGACGGGAGGATCCGGCCTAGTTTCTCTCGGACACAAGCAGTGCGAGGAGGCCCATATCGCTACCTTGTGAGCGTTCTCGGGATCCAAAAGCCGGAACAAAGGATTTATATACTTGGCGGCCTCGAACGTCCATGCGCTGCATGCATGGAAAATGGAGGATATATCAGTGTCTTCTTCCAAATACGAGACGATGAAGAGAATCGCGACGAAGGGATCGAAGGAAGTACCTGATAGTTGCCTCGTCTCGAGTACCAACATAAGCTCCACCAGCAATGACTGCTCCAAGCAAAGTTCCAGTTAAAACACGCCCCTGGAGCAAACAATCCAAACAATCGCAGCTAAGCTCGACTGGAAAACTCTCTCAAACTTTCCAATGCGCATACATACCCAAGTGAGGCGAATTTTTGGAGGAAGCGGTGGCTTCTGAAATGCCGCGGCGACCGCCTCCTTGGCGGATCCAGACGTCTCAGCTGCCGTGTGAATGCATGAGGAAGATCCATATCCATACCGCCTCGCGATTGCGGCGAGAAGGCGCCCCTCCCGCATCCTATTTCGTCAATCCCGCGCTATCGCTCGCTCGCCATCGCCAGAGAGAAAGGAGGAAGGCCCTAATTAGGGCTTCTCTTTGCTTAAACCCTGGGAGGAATATCCTCCTAGGGTTTATGTGCCGCCCGGTCGGGGGTTCGAGTTTATTTTCGCTCATCACGTGTAGCATAGGGCTGGAGGAGCTCCTGTGATCGCTACCGCTGGCGCTGGAGCTCCACGGCGAGGCGCATTTGTGATGCTCGCCTGGCCTACGCATGAATTTCTGCCGCGATCGTGATCGCCGAGAGATCGCGGAGCGAGGATGATCCGGAGAGTTTTCTGTGGCGTTCTCGCTCGCAGCAGTGCAGCGAAGGGGATTCCAGGTGATAATCGAGCTCTTGTTGCCGGTGAGCTGCTCGTTTTCTCGAGATTCTCGTGTCGTCTGTGAGGGTTTATCGTTTTGTTTGATATTTCCAGGCTTGAATGCCGTGTTCTCTCCAAGGAATTTCAGCAGCCTGCCAGAGAAGGAGCTCAACGATTCAGCTGTAAGGATTATGGATTCTCTTTTCCTTTTGGATCGGAATTCCTGACCGAGTAGATCGCTTTTGGGCAGCCTAAAGTGAAACTTCTCGTGGGAGGCGAGTTTATAGACTCTAAGACCAGCGATTGGGTTGATGTCGTCAATCCGGTAAGGTTGTTCTTTTCTTTTACCTCTTTTCTTGACTCTATCAATACTCCAAAACGAAACCAAAAACTACAACAGGCTACGCAAGAAATCGTGTCTAGACTACCTCTGACGACGCCGTCCGAATTTGATGCCGCGGTCGATTCAGCGAAAGCTGCGTTTCCAAAATGGAGAGATACTCCTGTGACAACGCGCCAGAGAGTCATGCTCAAGCTACAGGAGCTTATACGAAGAGATATGGTTCGTAGTTTTTTTCCATTGTCGTGAGCTCTGTGCTAAGGACTTCGTACTGTTACAGGATAAACTGGCTTTGAACGTGACGACTGAGCAAGGAAAGACGCTTGGGGATGCTCGCGGCGATGTCTTCCGTGGATTAGGTGTGGTTGCTGTCAAGGCTTTTCCTTTTCTGGTTCTGTCTTTCCACGGCCTCACGTCGTTTTTAACGTGACAGAGGTTGTGGAGTTTGCGTGCGGCGCTGCAACTTTGCAAATGGGGGAGTTTGTGGAGAACGTTTCCACTGGCATTGACACATATAGTATAAGACAACCTCTGGGGATCTGTGCTGGAATTTGTCCCTTCAATTTCCCTGCCATGATTCCATTATGGGTGAGGCTTCGCTTTTCTACGTGAGGTTTTTATAGTAATCCTGTTTTCGCAGATGTTTCCAGTTGCTGTAACGTGCGGGAACACCTTTGTCCTGAAACCCTCGGAGAAAGACCCTGGTAATCATCTTGTTCCCCTGGAGGTTTCAAACTAAACGAGTACGTTTTAATTGACAGGGGCGTCATTGATGCTAGCAGAGCTTGCAGCGGAAGCTGGCCTTCCCCCTGGCGTTCTCAATATCGTTCATGGGACAAATGTTAGTGGTTAGAGTGACTTGTACTGATTTCACTGACTGCACTTTGTAGGACGTGGTGAACCGTATCTGCGATCATCCAGACATCAAGGCCGTGTCTTTCGTCGGATCGGACAAGGTTGGTTTGTCGTGAAATTTTGTCGATTTAGAGTGAATGCCATCTTTTAATAATTTTTAATTTGGAACGTAGGCTGGCATGCACATCTACTCTCGTGCAGCTGCTACGGGCAAACGAGTTCAGGTAAGCTGTCTCCGTGGCTTTGAAACGAAACCAACATTTCCGAGTGTTATTGCCAGTGCAACATGGGGGCCAAAAATCACGCGGTGATTATGCCTGATGCATCGCCTGAAGCGACAATGAATGCTTTAACTGGTGCTGCCTTTGGAGCCGCTGGCCAGCGTTGTATGGCTATCAGTACTGCAGTGTTCGTTGGCGATTCAAAGCCTTGGTAAGAACAACTTTTCCCTTTTGTACGATAGTTTTTACTCGTCGTCGTCTACACAGGGAAGAGGGCTTGAAACAGCGGGCAATGAAATTGAAAATCGGCTGTGGCACAGAGCCCGGTGCAGATCTTGGCCCAGTTATAAGTAAACAGGTAAGAGCAACTAGTAGCTTTTGGTGGTTAACTAGATCTTGGCAGTTCAGGCAAAGGAGCGTATTTGCAGCCTCGTCGAGAGTGGGCTGAAAGACGGCGCGCGAGTTGTGCTTGATGGTAGAAATGTCGAGGTAGGCACTTGCATTGGTTCCTCGCGAGAGAGAGAGAGAGAACTTACAAGACGTATCAGGTTCCCGGCTTTACAAGTGGAAACTTTGTTGGGCCAACTATACTAGCCGATGTTAGACCAGACATGGATTGCTACAAGGTATGGTCTCTTTTGATAAGAATGTCGTGAAGACTGAACACCAGTTGTCACTTTAGGAAGAGATATTTGGCCCAGTTTTACTTTGCTTAAAGGTGAGTTTGATTCAAGTCTCGGTTGTGTTACATCAGTACTTACAATCCCAACGCAGGCAGAGACACTTGAAGAGGCGATTGAAATTGTAAATAGTAACAAGTAAGCACGTTTTTTGAGTTTCGCTCACGATGATTCTAATCAAATCGTGTATAGATACGGCAACGGGACTGCCATATTCACGACATCGGGCCCGGCAGCGAGGAAGTTCCAACACGAGATTGATGTTGGCCAGGTCGGAATTCTCTTTTTCCAGTGAAACATCTTATTGATCCAAGCGTTAAATTTTTCCAGGTAGGGATCAACGTCCCAATTCCAGTGCCTTTACCATTCTTCTCCTTCACGGGCTCGAGAGGTTCATTTGCGGGCGACCTCAACTTCTATGGTAAGGTGGTGGAAACGTTTCGAGCTCTTAAGTTTTTGCTTGGATTCGCAGGCAAGGCTGGAGTCCACTTCTTTACTCACATGAAAACCGTGACGACGCAGTGGAAAGACAGTCCAGGAGGCGTCACAATGGCGTTCCCGACCTCCCAAAAGGTGTAGAACACACAACAATGTGATATAAAAGGCCAGCGGCTCATTATTTTTGGTTTCCTTTGAATTCAATCTCCTTGTGTTCTCTGCTGAAAAATCTGTAAGTGAATTTTCAGAAATAAAAGTGGATTTCACTCACATCAAAATTGTGGGAACGATGACGATTGTCGCTATTTTGTTTCCTGATCTCCCTTTGTTTCCTCAGTTCTGGTGTTGGAGGTTTGCTGTTGCTGATTCGTTTGCAAGTAGAAAATGGAGAGAAATGTTGCAGTGAGGTATGGAAACACGGTCCAAATTCCCTGAGAAAGAAGAAAATCTTTCATTTGCAGCGAAGTTGGTAAACTCTCAAGTACCACAAAAGCTGCTACTCCTGCCAATGCTACAACTGGTCGATCACGAAGCATGAAACCAACGCTCATCTGTGACAAGGAGCCCACGGTTTTTGTTTCCCAGATCTTAGAAACGCAAATATATATACCTGTAATGGGAGTGTCAGAAGGCCGCCCAAGCAAACTCCCGCAAAGAACTTCGAGGCTTCAATCCCCTGGAACACACGTGACTTATATGTTAGAGAAGCTAAGTTTCAGGCAAAGCACTTACTTACACTGGCTCCGGCGAGAAATGAAGTTGGATTCCTTGCTCCAACTGAAAATCGCTCGACTGGTGCCAAAATCAAGAGAGTTAACTTTGGAGAGAAAGTTGGGCACTAGAATAGCGTACCAAAACCAATGAGGTTGCCATAGCGTTGAACAGCTTTAGCGATCTCTTCTAGCTTCTCCTTGCTGATTCCTAGCTGCAAAATCGTTTTCACTCAAAGACTCAAATCGACTTTTAGCACACCTTGCTGCGGAAACTCTCCCCAGAACCGGATTGCGCTGTGAGCTTTCCAGCGTAGAATGGAACCATATCGCTTATACACACTCCCCTGAAAGTCATAGATAGAACGTCAAGGTTGAAAACAAAAAATAAGAACACCACCCACCAGTAAACCCACAAGATCGTCGACAGAATGAAAGTTACATTCTGCGAGACAGAAGACCAAAAAACCTCTCGAGTTGAGTTCCAAGTCAAGCTACGAGCAATGGCAGCTCCAACCTGACAAAAACTTCCAATTCGAATCGATACAACGAAAGAAGGAAAGCAAACCATCACGAACCCAGACAATGAGCGCTTCCTCACTCACAAAGAGACCAAATCCAGCAGCCATGAGCAAGAGGAAATAAATCCACCTACACGAGAACGAAGAAAAAAGAATAAGGGAGATCGAGAGGAAAGAAGCATTTGCATGCTTACCCGGGCGTTCGCTCTCCCAAAAAGATTTGCCTCCCGAAGATGTTGGCTGTGAAGGAAAATCCTGAGCCGCTACGCGCAAGCTGCGTGGAGCTCGATACATCCACCGATGTCACTCTCTTTACGGCAATGTATCCCACAAAGAGAAATCCCGTGAGACCGGTGACAACCCCCAGCCACTTCCATCCAATCCTCCACCGCTGCTCTTGCTTTTGCGGCACTACTGGCGGTGATTCTTCCAAGAAATCCCGATCATCGGCGGCTGCGCTGCGCCTTGGAACGCTTGAGGAACGCCGCCTGGATTGCCTGGATCCATTTCTTTCGCAAAGCAAGCAAGGAGAGAAAATATTACCTGACATTGAGAGGAATCGTCGATCGCAATGCCGAGAAATGCTGGCGCTGGAGCCGCGCGTTCTCACATCGGAAATAAGGAGGAGGAGGCGCCGTGATCGCGAGCGCCGGCAGCAAGCCCACTGCCATGGCTGGAAGCTCGCATAAACCCTAAAAACAGAGCAATGTTAAAAATGGGATATTCTCTTTTAGAACCCAAAACCCTTTTCGCAAAGGGGAGAAATGCCGCCCTTGGCTATGGCGGCATTTCCATCGCCTCGCGGATTCTGGAAGCCGAGCTCGTCGCATCGGCAGGGGCAATGGCGTGGCTTTTGCGGGAGAATGGCGCTGGATCTCGACGAGCAGGCGAGGATTTCGCTCTCCCGCGCTTGCAAATCCGCCGGCATCGCCGTCGTCGCGCTCTTCTTCTCGGCCGGGGTAAGCCTGAGTGAAAATCCCGCCCTAGCGGCGCCGGCAGTGGTGGAATCATCGTCAGTGAGGGAAGATTGCGCGTCTTCTTCTCCACCGGGAGGGATTCCCGACGCCTCGTCGAGCTTGGAGGTAACGGATGAGTCTCTTGTGGAATCGGCATGGGAGCTCGTCAATGATTTCTATCTTGATGCTAGGCACCACAAGTGGTCACCGGATTTGTGGCTGGTAAGTTTTCCAACTTCCATAGCTTCTTCTCTTTGGTTTTGCAAGAAAATCTCATTCTCGCTTCTACAGGCTCAGAAAGAAAAGGTGTTTCAGAGGCCATTCCAGAATCGAAAGGCTGCGTACTCGGCAATCAGAGAAATGCTTGCCACACTCGACGATCCATTTACTCGATTTCTAACTCCCGATGAGGTAAAAAAACAAATGAGAAACATTCTAGCTTAGAGACTTTGCGAGCTAAATCGCTTCTCGCATGCAGGACAGTTTTCCCAAACCTCAAAGTACGATATCACAGGCGTGGGCTTGAATATCGGAGAGGTACCGGATGAAAATGGACAAATCCAGCTTAGAGTTCTCGGTATTGTTCTTCAAAGCCCAGCCGAGCTGGCTGGAATTCAGCAGGTTGGTCAGTGGCTTTCACTCGTCCTGCCGCTTAGTTCTGATCTTCGCGTGGCAATTTGCTGCTTTTTTCCAGGGTGACGAGATACTTTCAGTGGATGGAAATAGTGTGGCTGGAAAATCGGCCTTTGCGGTTTCATCTGAGATCCAAGGACGCAAACGGACTCCTGTTTCAGTCGAGGTATCGTTCGAATTCTATGTTTGCTTCTTTTCTTTTGATACGCTAAGAGTTTCTCCACGTCCAGGTTCGACGGTCTCAATGTGGAGACGTCCAAAGTTACGTGCTCTATCGCCAGCAAGACTTGCGAAGCCCTGTTTTCTACCGTTTAGAGCGTTCTGATGTCGCTAATGAGCGCCGCGGCTACGTTCGGCTCAAGGAGTTCAATGCCTTGACAAAGCGGGACCTGGTCACCGGTAAGAACTAGCTGATCTTGAAACTCTTGGAACATTGATTCGCCTCTAACCAGGAAAGCACTTGTTGCAGCTTTGATGAGATTGCAAGCCTCAGGTGCTTCATCGTTTGTTATTGACTTGAGAGACAACTTGGGTGGCCTCGTCCAAGTGAGTAGTGTGGCTTATTTGGCTTCGAAGTGAAACGCTTATGGACCTTACAGGAAGGTATTGAAGTGGCCAAGTTGTTTCTGGACGACGGGGAAACCGTGAGTAAAACTCTATCATCGCTTTAAACCATCTAGCTTTGACATAACGCGCAGGTTATATACACCACAAGGAGAAATAATGCGTCATTACAAAGTATTGTAGCTAAAGGCCAACCTTTCCTGCGAGCGCCCCTCGTCGTAAGCTTTGTTTCTTCCAACCGGCTTGTGTTGTGCTCACGTTTCATTCTATTTTGTCAAGGTTTTAGTGAACAACCGGACAGCCAGTGCGAGTGAAATTGTAAGTTTGTGCAGAGAAACGAATATAATATGCTTGGAAATTTGGTGCTTTTCAGATGGCCGCTGCTCTCCATGACAACTGTAGAGCTGTTTTAGCTGGTAGCAGGACATTTGGGAAAGTAGGGACTACTATTGAAATGATGGTTTCACTGATTTTCTTGCATATCTTGCAGGGCCTGATTCAGTCTGTGTTTGAGTTCAACGATGGCTCTGGTGTAATCTTGACTGTTGGGAAATACATGACACCTGCACACAGGGATATTGATGGGAATGGTTTGGAACCAGATTTCTGGAGAATGCCAGGTATTGCATATCAAAAGTCCTTTTCTCTTTCTTTTTGTTCTGTTTTTTTTTCTTTTCTTTTTTTCTTTTGTACTTCTTTTTTGTTTGTAATTTTCTAGCTAGGCTCTACGGAATCTAGATACAATTCTAAAGTGAAATTTGTACAGGCCACCTTGAAGTGGAGCAGAAGTTGAGAGCTTGTCTTTCAAAAAAGGCATCATGAAATTCTTGCTAGCGCTAAAAACAAGAGGAAAAGAAAGAAGAAAAAGCAAATGAAATTTACTTTTTGTATTTGATCTGTTCAATCGATCGATCAAAAAAATAAAAAGTACAAACTCTTTTAACAAGGCTTTAGAAAAAGGGAAAAAGAAAAAAAAAAAAGAACCTTTGGCGGAGGAAGAAATTTGCAGTTCTCTTAGAACCTCCTCCGCAATGAGCTCGACTCCAAACGTGAAGACGCGCTGCTGGCCGAATGCTCTTCGCGATCTTCTTGATCACCGTCTTGCAGTGTTTGCTCATCAGGACCCTGGCTTACATTCCCCATGCTCCACGAATCCGGGAGCTGCTCAAGACCCGCCGTGACATTCTCGTTGTCCGACGAGTACGAAACTAGCTGTGGATGATCCACGCTGTTGCTGGACGACGCCGGCGAGAGAGATGACGGGTTGGCGCACTTGAGACCCGAAACTCCTCCAAAACCACCAGCGAATCCGCCCAGCGCTCGGTACGCAAGCGCTCGCTCCAAGTTGTCTCTTGGATTCTCGCCCTCCTTTGCTGCTGGCTCTGGCTTCTCCAGGAACTCCGGATAGAAGGAATTCCACCAAGACGAATCCCCTCGCTCGCACTGGACAGCATCGCCGAGGATCCATCTGGGTAGCGATTCTAGAAAGTCGGTGCGTGCCTGCCGGTCCACCATGTAAGCTAGCAGCGAGCCGAGGCAGTGTCCTGCGATGATCCCCAGTAGATGGGAACTGGAAGCTTTGCTGGCTATGGATGCAACTAGCTGGCAGCCGCATCCAAAGCATCTCGATCGGACATGCAAACTGCGAGAGCACAAAATCCCAGTCGGTGAGTCACTGACAGGTCAGAGATGCGAGCGAGTTACCAGAAAGGAACACGGTACAAGAAACTTATAAGAATGCATTGAGGAAGGAGAACCAACGCCATATCCAGTAGCTTCTGCAGAGATTTGCACGCTGTCAGCAAACCACAGAACTCTCGGAACACGGACGCCCACGTTACTAGTATGATAGAGTTGAAGACCTTCCCAAGACCATAACACGATGGCAAACTGCCATAGCAAGAGCCTCCTGTTTTGCCTGTACCTGGATGGAGCACGCACCCCGTGAGAACTTCGCAGCTATTCGAGAGAGCTTACCTCACCATTTAGTGAATAAAAGCTGCGATGTTAACATCGCCATGCACCACGCAGCAACGCAAACGTGTGACAAGATCACCACTCCATGTTTGCTCTGCCGAAAAAAGAAAAAAAAAAAAACAAAGTTTGCAAATGATCTCGAGATGCAAAGACGATAAAAAACCAAACGATCACTCACCTGGCCAGCATCAATCGTCCACCAAAGCCGCAAGATGCAAAACGCCAATTCGCAAGCCGCGGGGCCGAGATCGTTGAAGTCCGAGTCCGAGCCACATTTCCGGCAATACACCGCTTCCAACCTTCTGTCCTGGAACTTGAGGCTCCAGGAGCTAAATCGAACTGGAGTGGCTACCGGATAGTAAACCGTGGACACCGCAGCCGCTGCCACAGCTGCTTGTAGCTGAGCATCACCCTGTCGCTGGGCTTCCTTCGCTGCTTCGTGAGCTCTCTCGTACAGCTCCCTCTCGTGGTCCGAAGCAAAGCCATCAATCTCACCAGTCGCCATGGACAGAGATGAGTATGAAGATCACACGACAACGATTCGAGCCCGAGCAGCCATTTGTTTCTCCTTTCTCTCTGAAAAACAGAGCTCTGATCCACGGAAGCTTCAGTGCCTCATCATGGAGCACATGGGAACCTAGGAAAAGAAAGAGAAAAACAGCGCTCATCAGGCACGGAAAGAAGCGAGAAAGCGAAGAAAACAAAAATATTTCCACACATAAAGAGCAAGAACAGCGACATCATACCCTACGAGCGCCCGGCGCACGATATTTCGCCAAGGATCGTGAAATGCAGGATCGCGCAGCCACGAATTCCTCATCCCCGGCGCCGCCACGCAAGAATCATCACAGGAACAAACCAGCTGATGCGCGACGATCGCTCGCCGCGAGCTGAGACAGCGCCGCGCTCTCCATCGCTTCCCCTGCGATCGATCGATCGAGCCAAAGCCCTAATAAATCGTCGCGAGAGAGCAGCGATTAGAACCCCTGCCCCACAGCGCCATTGCCTCGCTTCCAAGAGAAGAGAATACCAACCTAGAGAATAGAAACCCAAGCTGACGTGGGTGTCCACGTGGAGCGTATCCCCAAGCATATCCTGGCAGGTGGATACACATGTGCGCTGCTGGCACAGAATAAACCATAAAATCCAATAAAGAATTACGTAAATGGTCCAATTGGCGGCCGTACCAGAGTCACATTCCGGCGGCAGGCCGTACCAGTGGCGCGTGGGCTGCCGACTGACCGTCAGATGACGGGTGAGACCGACCGTCGCGTGTGGAGCGCAAGCCGTCACACCCGTCAGGCGCGAGTACAGTACGGAATGGCCGTTTTCTCGGAGCCCAGGCAAAGTACATACGCACGAACTTTGTTCCTAAGTTTGGATGATCATACAAAAAAAAGAACCATCGCATTTTTTTGGCATGATTTGGCCTGTCGTGATCGATCTATCGCTGGGAGAGTTTTGTGTTTTAAAACTCTGGCCAAGCAGCCACCTGTTCTTCGCAAGCAATTGCCACTTGAGTTAACTTACTTGGCTTCGATAGTTGCGGGGGTATTGGCTGGAGCATGAGCGCTTGAACAAGAGCTAGAACCTGTGAAGAACCAAGTGAAAAAAAAAGGAATTTTGGAATGTATGGTAAGTTTTTTACCATTACGCTCCCAGCAACGATTAGACTGAATCCTGGGCAATTGAAAGGAGCGTCCTTGGATAGAAACAGTGCTGAACAAAGAGAAAGTTTTAGACAAAAGTTTAAGCAACGAACAGAGAATCTTAAACCTGTCAAGGGGCTGATAGCAAGCGGTGATAATATAGTTGCAAACGATCTTATACCCGCAATTAAACCTTGGAACTTACCCTGCTCGAGATAAATTAGAGACTAAACGAGATGAAACGATGGAAGTTACCTGTTCTTCCGGTTCCGCTGTCTTTGATACAATACTCCCTATCTGTTAAGAAGAAACAATAAGTTACGCTCAGCGGTCATAGAGAACTTACGCAAGGGAAGCTCAAGACAAAAAAGATACTGAAGCTGGAACAGACGTATGGCACCTGAAAAATCCAAGATGTTAATACAAAAAAATCAATAAATTAACATCAGTTACCCAGTCTGCCCATGCTACTCCATATAAAAGTGCCTTAAGCATACAAACATTACGTGTGTGGATTGGTTAGACCAAGCACCAAGTGACAAAACTTACATGAGAAGCAGAAGCAGAAATAGCTATAAACAGAACGATTTTTTCGCCGAAAAAATGTACAAAGACTGGCATAATGAGCAGCTGTGTAAAATGAAAAGGTTTTCAATCTCCCGCAGACTAAGAATAAAGCTTACTTGAGAAAACACTGATGCCAGTCCATTAATTAACATGAGCTCTGCAAATTGGTCCTTTGCAAAACCAAAAGTCGCTTTTAAATAATACTGAGAACGAAAAACGAAGCATTAGACAAGAACTTGAGCTGATTATGGCCTACCAACAGTGAACCCTGTAATCCAGCTTCGCCAAGACTGGAGAAGAATACTATCACCGCTACCTGCGTCAAAAGATTGCTGACAGATGCAAGTTATCATCTACGTAAACGTCAAGACTACACTTACTTCTGTTTAAACAGAAGCACAGTGTCTGTGATTGAGGAAGTGCTACGCATGAGCAGCGGTGTAGAGCGACATTCGTCACGCTTATGCTGCTGATGCGTGTCACTGTGATTCGGAAGCAGCGGTGGACCACGCTCGGCATTTGTCTCTGGTAAAAAAACTTTGACATAGACCGCAGCAAAAGCAATCACGACAGCAGCCACCTGAAAGGTGGTTGAAGAAACAGTCGACTTAAAAGTGTAAAGCTCTCCCACCTTGAAAATTTGATCCTGAGCCAACACTCGAGCCAAAAGAATCCCAATAACATAACCGACTGAAAACGATCCCATGAGCACGCCAATGGCAAGAGCTCGGTAGCGTCGCTCGATACAGTCGCTCTGGAAAAAAGGAAAAAGAAACAAATGTCAAAATCATGGACGCTTTGGAGGCAAGCAAAGCACTAAGTAGAAACTCACCACATACGCAAAAGAGAGGCATGTAATGCCACCCTCGGCGAAGATCCTAACCACTGTTCCCACGACCATGTAGGCGTAAACGAACGGCCTGGATTGGCTATAGGCGAGTATCGCTTCGTCCATGTAAGAAAAGAGTGAGCAAGCGCGATCGATCGATCGGACTCACCCATGGGAAGAACAGCGGCGGAGAATGGAATCATCAGCAGCGGCTTGCGGCCATACTCGTCCGAGAGCTCGCCGAGAATCGGCGTCACCAGCATCGTCCCAATCCCCGCGATCTGCGAGAAGATCCATGGCAAGAATGCGAGAGCTTAGAACCCTAGTTTCAAGAAAATGTATAGAGGGAAGAGCTCAACGATTTGCTGGATGCCGGTCAAGTAGATCGCTTCGTTGCATTCGGCCTGGCCGGGGCAGAGCGCTCCGAGAAGAACATCCGTGAGCGCCGGGATCACCATCATCGTCGCCATGATGTGGAGGAGCGTGGCGAAGATGAGATGGATGAGCGGCCTCAGGACGATGATCTTGCGCAAGAATCCCCGCCGATGGCCGCCGCTGCTACTGCTCGATGATTCTGTCATCGTAGAGCGAGGGAGCGAGCGAGCTACAGCGATCGTATTGCTTCCCAGCGCGATTTATTCTACGCTAGCGCGACTATCACACACACACACAGGGCCCCAAGAAAGTGATCTTCTTGGAGATTCCTTCACGCATCTTGTCTGGGAACGCTTGCATCCAAAGCAATTGGAAGGATCTCCACGAAGCGAGCGACGATCCTGGCAAAATCTTGCATCTACAAGAAGCTATTGCGATCCAGATCACACACATCCATCGGAGCGCCAAGCATCGAAGCGATCGATCTCTCGCGATCGCGTGGAAAATATTTTGGGAAGGGGAAAGCGCGAGAGCCTCTCTATTCTAGGTGGCCATGGGCATATTCCCAGGACCGTTTTGTGATACCATTTTAAAATTCCACCCCCTGCCGTTTGTGCTGTCGGACTGAGATCCATGCAAGCCATTAGCTGCCCTCTTGTGTGCATGCCAAACGATCCATCTATCAGTTATCTATCGTTTGAGTCACCGTTGGATCTTTGGCATTTTGTTGCGTCACCGTAGGATCGTGGCCTTTTCCTGGTGGAAAGAATATTGGCAGTTTGCCGTACAAGGCCAGCTAGGGTTTATGTTCTCCCTTGCGGGCGCGCGTGGCAATGCAGGACGATCGTCGCCGGGATCATCGATTAGGAGTCCCATCCACTGGCGCTCGTGATCTTTCGAGGTAAGGCGGCGGTTCTTTGACACGCGCATGGATCTTGATGATCCGCCGTGCGCGCGCGCGGCAATGCAAGCGAATCGGCGCCAGATTTTGCAAGCTGAGAGGGTTATCGGCGGGATTTTGCAAGGCTGGCAGGGATTTCGATGTCGCCGGCTTGATCTCGGCCTTGAAGGATTCCAGGGACCTGCGGAGCTGCAAGAGGCATCACATTGATGCGGTTGAGAAGGGTCTTTGCTCCAACATCCTCGTCGCCAACACGCTGATTCGAGTGTACGCCAGATGTGGGAGCTTGGCCGATGCTCGCAGCGTTTTCGAGTCACTGGAAGTCCCGGATGTGGTGTCCTGGAATGCGCTACTTCAGGGATACGTCGAGAATGGGGAGAGCCGGCAAGCTCTGGTATTGCTTGGAAGAATGGAACAGGAGGGGTGTCTTCCAGATGGTAGAACTTTCGTCACAGCTCTCAAGGCTTGCTCGAGTCTAGCAACCAAAGAAGGAAATGCGAAGAAGGTGGAGTACGTGAAGGTGGCCAAGGTTTTCTACTGTGAGGCCATAGATTCGAGGCAACTAGACATCTTTGTGGCGAACACATTGGTTGATACTTTAGCCAAATGTGGGAGCTTGGAGGATGCTCGTTTGGTTTTCGAGAGGATGCCAGGTCATGACGTTGTTTCTTGGACAGTTTTGGTGCTCGGACATGTCGACAACGAACAGTGTGAGACCGCTTTGGAGCTGTTTGAACTTATGCACTCGAGGGGCTGCATTGGGAATGCCCGGACTTTCTCCTCGGCTCTAACGGGGTGTTCTAGACTGGCAGATAAGGAAGAAGCTAAGCTAGTCGACGGGTCTCTTGTGAAGGCCGAAAGTCTTGAAGTTGGGATGGCGATTCACTCACGAGCATCAAGCAGTGGCTGTGACTCAGACGTTTTCGTTGGGAACACTTTGCTCGACATGTACGTCAAGTGTGGCAGCATGATTAGAGCTCGGCGGGTTTTCGATGGGATGAAGCTTCATGATGTGGTATCGTGGACTACGCTGATACAGGGATATGCCGAGAACGGTGAGCCAGTGGTGGCTTTACAGCTCTACGCTCGCATGAAGCTGGCAGGATGTAAACCGGATTCCAGGTGCTACGTCGCCGCGCTTTTGGCTTGCTCGAGTTTGGCAGCGGCTGAAAAACTCCGTGAGTCCAGTGGGAGCTTGGTGACGCTCGAGTGCTTGGACAAAACCAGGATGGTCTACCAGGAAGCTGTAAGCAGTGGATTCGGGCAGGATATGTACGTCAACACGGCAGCAGTTCGTGCATATTCAAAGTGTGGGAGCAGCGCTGGTGCTCGAGTGATATTCGACAACGTGGCACACCGGGACACTTTCCTGTGGAACGCAATGCTTCTGGGACATGTTGAAAACGGGGAAAGCGACTCAGCACTTGGACTGGTTGCAGTAATGCAAGAACAGGGTCACAAAGGAGATGCTCGGACTCTCAGTACGGTATTGACGGCTTGTGCAAACTTGGGAGTCAAAGCAGAGAAAGCAGAACCATCATTATCAGATGGAATGAAGGCCAGATATCTGGAACAGGGGATGGCTTTACACTTGGAAGCATCAAACTCGGGGTTTGACAAGTCGGACATATTCGTGGGGAACGCTTTGGTCGACATGTACGCGAAGTGTGGGAGCCTGGAGCGTGCCACAGAGGTTTTCCGCAGCATGCCGCGCAGGGACGTGGTGTCGTGGACTTCGATGATTCTGGGATACGCCGGGAATGGCAGAGCAGCGCTAGCCTTAGAGCTGTTCTTCTCCGGCATGGACGTCGCGGCAAACGCTAGAACTTACGTGGCTGCGCTTGTGGCTTGCGGCGACTTGGTAGCACTGGAAAGTGGGAAGCGTGTCGAGGCTCGAGTTTACAGGAGTGGAGTGGAGAGCGATCCGGTGGTGGCAACCGCGCTGGTGGATTTTTACGGGAACTGTGGAGACATGGCTGCTGGGCGGCGAGCTTTCGACTGGAGCTCGCCAAGGGACGTGAAGCAGTGGAACGCAGTGATCGGGGGCTACTCTCGATCCGGAGAGATCGACCAGGCATTGTCGCTGTTCCAGAGGATGAGGGACGAGAGGTTGCGAGCCGACGCCATCACTTTCTTCTCCATCCTCTCGGCTTGCAGCCACGCCGGAGAGATCGACAGGGCGCGGGAGTGTTTCCAGGCCATGGCCGAGTTTGGCATCGCCCCGAGCGTCCAGCACTACTCGTGCCTGATCGATCTGTTTGGCCGAGCCTCGAGACTGCGCGAAGCAGTGGAGCTTCTCGAGGCTGTGCCCCTCCTCAAGGCCGATCGTGTTGCGCGGATGACGGTCTTGAGCGCGTGCCAGCGCTGGAAAGAAGCTGGAACTGGAAGGAATGTGTTTGATTCTCTGTTGGAACCCGATGATAAATGTAACAGTGCTCAAGCATTGGTGTTCATGGCAAACGCAAATTCGTAGACAAAATGGTGGTCTGCTGACGTGGCGATGATTATTCGAGGATATGCTACCGTTTCGCTGAAGTGGATATGCATACCAGTCGAGGAGTACTTTCTTCTTGAATGAATCTAACTCTTGATTCTTCACCTAGTCTGTTCTTCCTCTGGAATGTCTTACACTACGCTCCTTTCTGCTAGTCTTCCTTCTTCCTGAGCTATTTTGTTTGCTATCCTGAGCCCGAAAACTATCTTCTCACCTCCTTGCTTTCAGAGCAGTCCAAGAGTAGGCAGACAGATAGCATGAGTTGAAAGTCTGCCGCTACCTGAACTTTGCTGCTCTACCTCTGCCGTTCCATGAAAATCTGCTGCTCCTAGCTAAGCTTTGCTGCTTCTCTACTGCTATTGCTAGCTGCTTCTCTGCTGCTGCTAACTTTGACTCTCCCTCCTGTCGAATACAAAGTGAGACACGAAGAAAACCACTTGCCTAGCTGCATAAGAACTCCGAGTGCATATCTCCCTATATGATGCCTGTTCCTCCTCCATTTACGTGCTACCTGTAAACAAAGTCAGACATCTCTATGCCTCTTGCTTAGCTCACCATTGTGCCGAATTCTGCTACCTGTAAACAAAATCAGACACGGACTTCTTTTGTCGGAAGTGTTTATGGCACTCAAGGCATCCGTGGGTGTGACGCGGCTGGCGCTGTTCGTGTTTGGCTACGTCAAGCTGCTTTAGAACTCACTAACGTGCCGAATGCTGCTACCTGCAAACAAATCAGACACCAAGAAACAACCACTTCTCTACACCTCTTGTCTGGCTGCTTTGAAACTCCGTGCATTGTTCCTCCTCCATTTTCGTTCTCCGCCGCTGTAGCTCCAGCTCCATCTAGCAGTATAAACCAACTCCTGCCATGCCTATCACGTAAACCACTTTTCCTTGAAGGCAAAGACCTTGTCACCCGGATCGAACACCACGGGAAGCCTCGCAGCGCACCAAGTGTGGCGTGCTGCAAGCTGGGAAAGCATACACATCTAAGTGGAGATGGACGAGACAGTGGGCCACAAGCCGTGAAACGAAAAGCTCGTTGGCATAGCTCATAAGCTTGTCCTCGGGGCCTCACTGTCGTCGTCCTCGTCGAGCACAATGCTCTGCTGCAGCTGGGCGATCAAGGCTTTCACATGCTGGACATGTTTGCCCACCTGGAAACACAAAAACAAAACATTAGGTGAGATTAATTTGAGATGAAAAAATGAGGGAACTCATCAAAACTTCATCATTCTGCTTATTGATCAAATCGCGCTTCCTTGGCATTGCTTCGCCTCTTTGCAAATCCTCCTCCTTGTTCTTTGTCCCTCCCTCTCCACACCGCAAACCAACTCCATATATTTGTCCCAGGAACAAGGAGCCTTGTGGGAGGTTTTTTCGCCACTTCAAGGCGCGGAGCTCCGGCAAAGCTGTGGAAGACCACTGTGAAGCTGGCGATTTGCAGCAACGCTAGCCATGTGGTGTGAGAACTTGGAAAGCTTGGGACAAGTTATCAAGGCAGCGATGAAACGAGGAGATTGGCTCCAGATGCCCAGGAGCTCCCTCTTTGTTGCTGGATTCGCGAGAGAAGGTGAGCTGCTAAAGCCTCGGAGCAGCAAGTCTCCTTGCCGGTTTTGACGAGGCCCGAGCTCTCGATGGCTTCCAGCACCCATTTTAAACCTCAACACTTCCTGTGTACCTGCGGTTTCGAGTGGTGAAGCTTACGCATTCCTTCTTCCTGTTCTTCTTTCTCCGATCGCTCGCTCGCGATCTCACCGTCGTGTTGTCGAGCGTGGTGCTCTCTCGGGATGCTACCAGAGGAGCCGAAACTTCAATGGTCACGCGAGCTCCCTGAGCTTCTTCTCGCAGAGCTCGAGATAAACTTCGCCGGCTGCCGGCCGTACTCGTCAGTGCTTGAGAAAGTCACCAGGACCAGGGGATCGGCACGGTTGAGAACTGTCCCAAGTTCGCAGGATTCGACGGCTCCACCGCCACCCTCACTATCGGAGCCGTCTCGCAACTTAAGCCCGCGAGTGGTCACCGTCTTGAGTCCATCGCCACCACGTTTCCAGCCGCTACATTGTGCCGATCATGCAGTGACAGTCGCCACCTCAAAGCTCCGCTTGTCCGTTCCGTAGCGACAGTTGGATCGTAGACCTCCGAGAGCACGTAGATTCTCTAGCCAGCAATTGCAGAGGCCCCATTCCCAGCCACCGGAGAGAAGTCTGCACAAAACCCGAAATTTCCTCTTCTTCGTGCTGTTCCTCGTCACGGAAGAAGTAGCTCTCGGATCGAAAGCCACTGACAATGCCCTTCACCTCGGGTAGCGGCGAGAGCTTGAGCTCCGTGCCGAGTCTGTCCACCTTGTTGAGCCCGACCGGAGCACAGAGTGGCGTGGATTCCCTCGCAAATATCCAACAAAACGAGAGCTCAATCTTACTGCCATGGAGACCTCGCCGGCGTGATCAATGGAGGTGCTCTTGATCGTGATGCTCGTCGTTGAGGAGGTAGCGAAGCTTACCCGCTTGCTTGGAGTGAGCGACGCTATCGCCGGCAAGACATGTTCCATCGTCGCTATAGCTGTGCCACGTCGGATGATCTCGCCTGGCAACACGAAGCGAGTGACGATCCTTTGCTAGGATTCGCTTTTCAAATTATTTTCATCTTCTGCTCTTCATCACCTGTTGCCTCCTTTTTGCCAGGAACATCTTGAGATCATGGAGGCGAGGCTCTTCTTCAATGAACTTCGGGTTGTCAACCATAGTCGTCAGCACCTCCACGACCACGTCCAAATTGAAGCTGTTATTGAAGCGGTCAATCAACCTGCAAACGAGAATGAACACGGCAGGAGGAAAGAGACGTGAGCTTACGCCTGAGAAGCAGATGCTTCATCCGTCTTGGGTGACACTCGTCATCTCCTTGCAGGTTTGCACCCAACCTGAAAATCAAACATACATTTACAGACCAGGAACATATATAGACTCACAAATCTTGGGGAAGTTGTGGACAAACGACGAGCTCTTCTGCCAAGAAAAGAGGAAGCGATCCACTGCCATGGCCTCCTCCGCCCGAACGAACACCAACACCTCCTGGAAACACTGCTGAAGTTTAGCCATCTCCATCGCTGCAGCAACTTGGATCTCCTTGGGGCCGTAGGAGGCAGAGGAGAAGCCAATGATCTTAAGGCTGCTGCTGTTGTGGCTTCTGCTTCCGAGGAGGATCTTGAGAGGATGAGACCCCTGGCGTGAATCTTGGCAAGAGCTTCATTGGCAGGAGCAGGTGCTGCTTGCACGTCTCGCACACTGAACGTGAAGTAGCTACCGCGAGGTTTACCTTCGTCGCTGGTCATCACGTAGGCGAACATTGTCCCACACAAGAAACCCCACGAGACGAGTTGTGGTATCATTTGTGGCCCTGCATTTGTGGAGCGTCTTTGTACGCGTCCACCTCGGTGACGATCTTCCGGAGGTTGGTCGTCTCGGCGTTTGGAAACCGTAGTCAAGTCCTGCACCTTGAGAACCACCTCCTTCTGCTTGTACTTGGCGGAGATGACGGATGAATCAGTGTCTCTCGACCACTTGCAAGAGACATCCTCCGAGATTCTCCATGCCTTGGCTATGGACTTGAAGCTTTCCACCACACGGGAAAGAGCTTGGACAAGCTTAGCGAGTAATCTCTGACCACCACGCTGAACTGGAGCGGAAAGGAAAAAGTACCTTGGCATACCAGATGGATCCACATTCCACCAGAGCACCAAAGAAAGCACTGGTGACCAGCATGTACGTGAAAAGCCTCCTGTAACACTTGGATGAGTGCAAGAAAAAGGAAACACACACAACCAAGCCAGACCTTACACATTCCTCTAGAGAGAAGTCAATAATCCCAACGATAAGAGGCCGATTGCCTCTTGCGTCCTTGACATATATGTCCGGCCGGCCGAATGTGTGTTTCCAAAGCTGTCCCCGGAAATCTCTGAGAGCACCAGAGAAGCTCTTTGGGCACTTCCAGCAGACCCTCAAGACTCTGCTGTGCCTACTTCTGTGTGTGGATTGGACGCCTGCCACTTTGCATGAATTTCATCCAGCGGCGCACACCATCAGCGCTACACACACTAGCCAGCCGCTCTCCAGCCATAAAAATTCTATTATGGTTTTAGAAAATGCTAGGACCATAGATAAGATGTCTGAATCTACCTGGTAATTTCCAAAAGAAAGTTCAATAATGAAGTAATTATTATATGATCACCTTTTAATAATGTGGAGCATGAAATCTCTACTATTACCTGATCATTACCAGATCGTCCAGTTCCCATTTCCCTGTAGCGCAAGCAAACTTTATGAGTCAGGACTCACCATAAGTCCGTTCTATAGACGTGTAAGCAACAGTTCCACAAGGAAATTTCAAAATCTTGGCATGAAATCGCAGGAGCAAAGACGAGCATCCGAATGATTTGCCGTCACAATCAAGGCTTTCCATCAGAATGGAAAGATCAGAGTAGGACTTATCGGGAGCAAGATATGGAGAGTACCAGCGGCTAGATATGTAGCTTTGCTGAATTGTTTCGAAACGCTGCAAAGATTGGAGGGCTGTGTGTTGATGTCAAACTAAAGTGCTATCTATTAGTGAAGATGACTGTAAAGTTCCAAGTAATAGCCAGCTGCACTCTTGCAACCTGAACGGAAGATTTCGAGCCGTACTGTTTTTGTCATAAACCAAAGAACCTCACCAGTTGCAAGCAAAGTTCGTGTACCGTCCTGTCGCAAGGAACTCAGGAAGTGGGAAGAAACTAAAAACCGGTCATGAACCTTGTGATAGAAGATTGTCTCTTTGCGTTCAATGCATGGTTCAGCAAAGGACGTGGCCTACAGCCAGAAATCTGGTCTCTGACTTGCCGATACTTTAAATATTGGTACTTTTGCGTAAGATCCGCTCCACCTTAGTTAACACAAGCTCTCACGAGGAGAAGGCTCCTGTCAATATATAGATTGGAAGGAGGACTCCTTGCAGAAAATGTGTTTTTGCTGCAAAATGGGATATAGATCTATCATGGTCCAAGTTTGATGGAGTAACTCGTTAGATTAGGATTCATCCATTCATGTGTTCCATATGAAATCAAGAACACCGTAGCTGAGTTCTCTAAAAGAGCGAAAGCCTTCTAGTGAACCATAATAAGTTCTTTGGCAGGCTTATCTTCAAATCAAATCCCGGCTAAGCATTGGAGAACCGAAGCACGAAAACTTTATAAACTTACTTTTCATCGTTTGAAACAAAGGACTCTTAACCCCACCTAAACAAAACGAGAAAAGACAATCAGAAACCATGAGATGGTTTTTTCTGATGAACAGCTTACCTGCTGAAGCAACTCCTAGGAAACCAATGGCATTAATACGTTCAAGTCCTCCGCGATCAATCTCGTCTCCGAGCAGGGATTGTCCAACGTTGTGATCATTTGCAAGCGCAGTAGCATGGAGAATGATCCTCCATCTTTACCAGAGGCATGGCATTCTTTCTCTTGCTTTCCTTCTCTTTGAATGAATGTGAGATTCTATCAAGCAGGACTTGGACACCCAGCACTTGCGGAGGATTTCGTTCAAGTGAGAGCTCCTTATCGATCGATCGATCCAAAGTTCCATCTGTGTATATAGGTACGAAGGCATACACCCTCCTCCGGCTTCCTTACGAGAGTGCAAAATCCGGATGGTTAAAATGGGTCCAGCTTCCCGCCTTGCTCGTTGCCAGTGAGAACCATTTGCCCAATTGCCGGCACTGTGCCAGTGCCAAGGTTGCCCATGAGATCGAGCGTTTTGGGATCATACGACTCCACGCCAGACCCTGCACAGAAAAAAATGTTTTAGAACAGAAGAACGATCTTGCCCAATCTTGAACAGCAAGAGGAAAGGAAGACGTTCTTCTCTCTTTTTTGTTCTCGAAAATTAAAGACCGATGCATGGGAGGGAGATCTCTAGAAGAGAAGATTGAAGAAGATTGTAGCAGCGAGGTGATTTACCGGATGAGGCTGAATCAGCGGCGGTGGTGGCGATGGCGATGGCCGCAGGGGAGCCGGAGGTGCCGGAGGCGGTGGCCGCCTCGATGCGGCGGCGCTTGTGTTTCTCGCTAGCATTCTTGTTATGGAACCAGTAGTAAACATTGGCACCGTCGACCGGCTGACGAGCTCGTTTATCTCTGAGATTTTCTCGTGCGATGGACGCGTCACTTTTGCGTAGAATTCCTCCAAGATTTGCAGCTGCTCCTGTTTGGGTGCCATCGCTTCTGCACGGACCTCGTCGGCGTTGGCACGGAAGAGATATCGGTGTAGTCCCTGCGACCTTGCGGAAGAACGATTGAGCAATGCCCAAGCCAAGCAACAAAACGAAAACAAAGCGATCGAGGTAGCGAGAGAGAAAGATACCTCTGTGATGGACATGCAAGGCCCTGATCTCCATGCGCTCGATCTGATCAGATGTGGACGATGCCAGCGATGAAACCGCCTGCTCCTCATTCGATACTAGCTCCGGGGATCGATCGATAGCGAAGAACAGCCGAAGGCAGGGATTTTGCTTGCACAGGAGCTGGAGAAATGGAGAAAGAGCAGCTTGGAAGAGCGGCGGTCGCGTCCCTATTGTGTCGCACTTACTCTCAGAATTTTCTCCCACTGTACTTTAAACAAGATTATTAAGTATTGACTTCCTCTTCTCCTGTTTGTTTTTTTTTAAATTCTTGTTTTCAAATTGTTTTCTTCCAATGATTTTTGAGATGCTAGCAGCAGCTACAGCTTTGCATTGCTGCAGTGTGATTCGGTTTGATGAGATTTATTATTTTCACGATGCTTCAGCCGATTATCTTCTTGCCCGTTGAAGCTAGAACAGGCTAGCAACGCAGCCGAGGATCGGGGCTCTCGTTTTTCATCAGCTGGAAGACCTGTGGCTCGCCATTCTCGACGTATGCCATCATGAGTGACACTACGCTTTACTCCGACGTCCCAAAGCTTGGCGAGCTCTGGATATGGCACACTTTACATATACATGTCCACCGTGCAGTTGCTTTCTGGCTTCCTCCTTTTGCAAGACCTTACTTCGACTAGCTTTGCTGCTTTCCTTTGCTGCTAAGCCCTCGCAGGCGGTGGTCATGGGTGGGCCGATCTAGTTAAAAGGTCGGGGGACAACGATCCGCCGCTCGCGCAGCGATGACCGTTGCCGACGAAGAGTCCGACAGCAGCGTCAAATAACACATGTATTCATGACTATGAGAAACTCGAAGAGTTCGAGAGTGTCGTCGGCTTAAACGTACCCATGGCCAAGCCATTCCACAGCACGAGAAGCTCGAGCAAAAACTTTCAAAAGAGCAAAAAGACAACTGTGTCGTTGTATCGAACTCCGTGCCTTAGTCCGGAACCGGAACCAAACTGACCATCTGTCAGAGAAGTGGAGGGGAGGAATATAGCTGCAAAAGGAGAAAAGATAATCAGAAAATATGAGATGGTTCTTTGATGAACAGCCTACCTGCGTCGAGAATTGACCGGGTGCTGTACGTAGAAAGTGAGATTACAATAAGTGCATATAACCATGCAGAGATGAAGTGCTTCAACCACACACTGACCAAAAATGATTCTTGTCAGTAATTCACCTGCAGAATCCTCTGTCTGCTATAGAAGATGTTACGTCTCCTCACTGATTGAGGTTTTGGTTTGAAACTCAATCTACACCATGGATTTTTCATTAGCACCGCAGCATCTATGTTCCTCAGATTTCCCCCAGAATGTCAGTCTCAAGGCCATGCAATCACCTTGAACGGATCTCTCCTTGTAAAGAAGCAAAACAGTGAATCCTTTTGGAGTACTCACGGAATCTGTGAGTGAGGCATGGCCTCAAGGTCATCCTTCAGCTCATCAGCAGCACTTCAACTTCAATGGAAGTTTACTTGAAAGCCTGAGAACCAGAAGGACGCCTCGATCATGATTCCCATATCCAGGCAGCGCAAGCAAACGCATGCAAATCATCAGCACCTTTGGAAGTAAATTGCCGCCTTGGCAGTGCTCATGTTATTGATGTGCAGCGCCACCATCGAAGACGAACTCCATGGCCTGAGCCGGATCGCCTAACGAACACCGATCTCGAGAGGAAATTTGGTTTTACTTGGAAAGATAAAAAGATTTGCGTACATGATTCATAACCTCAAATTGCGCGATCGAAGGGCTGGTCTTGCGGGACGGGGATTTCATTCTGTCGTTGAAATGTTCCTACACCCAAGACGAAGAATGAGAAAGAAAAAAAAGAGAAGAGGATGGCTTTCCATCTTCCTTACGAGACTGCACTCCAGAGCGCCGCGCTCGTTGGTGGGAACAATCGCTGGCGCCACGCCATCGTCAACATTTCGGAGCGTTATGAGAGACGACTCCGGGCCAGACCCTGCACAGAAAAAAATGTTATAGAACAGGGCTTGGAAGAAAAGAAAGAACGCAAAGATCTTCCCCAGTTAACTATAGCTACGGCAGCTCTAACGATCTATCAGAACAAGAAAAGAAAATCCTCTCATTTTTTTCCTCCTCTCTTCGCAAGGAGTGCTGGAAATGAAAAACCGATGGATATGATATGATTCATGGACTCGTCCTCTGCACTGGATTTACCGGATGAAGCTGACGCAGCGGCGGTGGTGGCGATGGCGGAGGCGCATGCGCCGGAGGCGGCGTTGGCCTCCTCGATGCGGCGGCGCTGCCGTCTCTCGCGGGCCTTCTTGTTCTGGAACCAGAAGTAGACTTTGGACTCAGAGACCGGGCCATGATCATGGTCGACGAGGTCGACTATCTCTGCGATGTTCTCCTGAGATGGCATCGTCCCTTTCGAGTAAAGATCCTCCAGGACGGCCAGCTGCTCTCTGTTCGGCAGCCATCTCTCATGCGGGGGCCTCGCCGAAGCTGCCACGAGATCGTTGTTTTCCCTTTGACCTTGCGAAAGAACGATTGCTGTGTCAGTCAAGCAGCAAACAAAAGCAAAAAAATGGACAGATCGACTTCGAATTCGGTGTTCTTTGTGCAATGCCTTAAGCTCCAGAATCTGCGTGCGGCGATCGACCTGAGACGACGCCCGCGGTGAAACCGCGCGCCGGCTCATTCGAAAAGCAAAAATGTGATCGGCGATGCGATTCTTGGGGGAGAGAGGGAGAGAGAGAGGCGCTAGAAAAATAGCTAGGCGGTTCGTGTCCCTATTGTGTATTTCACCTGATATTTGGGAAAATCAATTTATTCGTCTCACTTACTCTGAGACGCGCCAATAGGATTTTTTTAATTCTTTCGAGTAAAAGTCTTCTTCTTAATGTTTTTGAGAAAGATTTTTGAGAGCTAACAACATGCTCTGCTGCAGTTTGGTTAGGTGTGATGAGATTTTCAAGAGCAGTAAGATGTGGCAGGAAAAAAAAAAAAGACCAAGAACCTACAGCCGACCCAAAAAGATCTTGGGGAACAATTTAAAGTCCCTATGAGAACTCTTGGATGATATCCCAGGGTATGGTCCAGAGTTTCCAAAGAAGGATCTGTGGGGGAGTTTTTCTTGTTCGAGTAGGCCATTGTCAACCATGGCAATTTCACAATCATCTCACATCGTGACGCTGGAAAAAAAACTAATGAATGAAACCAATTAATGTAAGAAGAAGAGATTCTTGAGCTGAGTATTTTCCGAGCTGTGGTTGATCACGTCATTAATCTTAGCAACACGTTGCTAGCCAATATTAGGATAAAGGGGCACTGGCTAAAGGGGCCTTGTTTAACATATAAGAATATTCTTGCCTTATTCATCAGCCACTAGAATTGAACTGGGTTCAATACCAATATTAAAATTTTATCTCTTACACCTTAACCCAACTTGCTAAAAAGGTGATTATTTGTTTGTAACCTTTTGTCCTATTTTATTATCTTGACTGGTGCCTAACACCAACCTGCGAGTTGATGGTGACATGGCTCAAAACAAATTCAATGTGTCATTAAGATTAATGGTGTAATTGCTATAGGTGGTGATGCATTGCTCAACCTGGTAAAAATCTCCTAGCATTGCAAGCACTGAAGCACTTTTGTACAGTCTATTAACCTTCATTTAGCCCTCCCATTTGACTTCCCACCATGATCTCCACGGCTTGGAATTGAACCAGATTCCCATGTACTTTGTTTCATCAGTCTCAACCTGTATTTCGCAAGAATTAACTGGCCGGAAATGCAGCGGCAGATTCTAACTCGTAAGTAAGTAATGTTTGCTTGTAGCAGCGACCGTGGTGATACAAAGCATAAGGTCTCATGCTTCTCAATGGGCATTGCAAGACTAGAAACAGAGGATAGATAGATATAAATAGATACGTGAAAGCTCATGTCTCCACCAGGAGAGAGATCTTTGCTGGAGTCAATGCTGTCCAAGTAGAGCACAGTCTAAGCACTTGATTGCCTTGAGAGGAAACCACAACAATATAAGCTCACAGCCCCAGCCAGCGGTGCCTACCTAGATCTTTGGCCAGGAAGCTGCCTGGTCTTGACCAGAAACGTTCCTATCCAGTTCCCATTTCCCTGCACGATCAAACGCATGTAGATCATCAACACCTTTGGAAGCAAATCACCGTGCTGCTATCGATGTAAAGATCGACCGCCAGCGCCACCATCAACGACGAACTCCATGTCCAAAGCCGGATCGCCTTTAGAACGCTAATGTGGACTTTCCCCTATGCTAATAAGATGGATGCTAGGGCGATTCCGCGCGCTCTTCGTACATAAACCCTGCCGTTTTTAGAACAGGCTACGAAGAAGAAAAGGCTCTCTTATTTGTTCTCGCAGAGAATGAAAGACAGATGGGATTGATCAGAAGAAAGAAGAGAATATGATCCATTGTAGTGTAGTAACGAGGTGATTTACCCATGTCCGGCTCAAAAGCTGCGGTGCGACAGCGGGAGAGGAAGAGGCGGAAGCGCCAGAGGCGGCGTTGGCCTCCTCGAGGTGAATTTCTTCTTACCAGTTGAAAACATTGGAATCGTGGGCCGTGGCGGCCTACGAGCTCGACTATCTCGGCGATATTCTTGAGTAATGGCGGCATCGCTCCGGGTAGAATTCATAGCTGGGAAATCAATGAGTTCATGAGCAACATACAACTTGTCGAAGTCCCCCCATCGATTGCTATGTCAAAACGACAATAAAACGATCGAGAGAAGATACTTGTGATCCACATGCAAGGCCCTGAATCTCCTGAGCGACCTGACAGATTCGGATGGTGGCGCCTGCTAGAAGAGGGATCGTTTTGCTTAGAAATAGCTTCTTAAGCCTTTTTTGAAAGGAAGCAAAAACACCTAAAAAGTTTGGAATCCATTTCCGTTTTTAGGTAGTTTTCTTGTTGAGAATTTGGTTTGGGATTTGAGATGTTAGCAGCAGCTGCAGCCTTACATTGCCCCTCGAGCAAAGACCTAGGAGAACTAAAGGAGAACTCTAATCAATTTTTCTCATTTTCAACAAACGAAGAAGTATGTATCCGAGATTACACTGGTATTGAGTGTTGGCTAGTTTGCAAAGGGACGAGTGAAAGTTGTTTGGAAATATGTGACGCTGTTTCACGAGCGCAAACATCCACCTTTAAACACCTTAATGTGTCTTGATTGTGATTCAGTGCTACCGCTTGTCATCAAGCAAGAGCTTCGATGCAATGCACAAGAGCTAGAGATTAAATAGCTTGAAGAGAAAAAAAGAGCACCATGGTTGATGCTCACAATTACCATTTGAGATGGGATTAAATAGCTTAGGAAGAAAGAAAGAGCACTGGGTGGGGTCGTGTCCCTTGTGTTTGCACCTTATTATTAACGTACGCAATTACCATTTGAGAAATTGCAAGCGTCAACCAGGTGGAAACGCAAACAGCGCTCTTTCTTTCTCTCCAAGCTATTTAATCTCGTCTCAAATGGTAATTGCGAGCATCAACCAGGTGCAAACACAAAAGGACATGGACACTCTCTTTCTCTCAAAGCCTTGGAGAGAAAGAAAGATTGTGTCCTCTTGGAGAGAAAGAAAGAATGGCAGGTCGTGTCCCTTTGTGTTTGCACTTGGTTGATGCTCACAATTACCATTTGAGACGAGATTAAATAGCTTGGAGAGAAAGAACGAGCGCTGTTTGCGTTTCCACCTGGTTGACGCTTGCAATTACCATTTGAGACACGCTTCCTGTGGGTCTTTTAAGCGTAACGTATGTATTCAGAGGCCACCTGGTATGTATGTGGTAAGCTTTTCTGGGCTTTATTGTGCGAGTACTTCTCTATACTCCAATTTTATACAAGCAAAATCCATCTTAAATGGCAGTTAGCATGGCTATCTTATATAATCAAGCACTTTTTCTTCATAAACTTCTACTCTTTTTCAAACAAAATCTGCTTTCTTATACTTTCTTCTTTTTCTTCTTCTTCTTGTTTTTATATTGTTTTCTTCTTCTTCAATGTTGAGAAAGATTGGAGGGGTTTGAGATGCTGCAGCCTTGCATTGTTGCAAGGGGGCAACTGCAGCAGTGTGATTAGGTGTGATACAGAATCTATTGATTATTTAAGTGTCAAAAACTCAATGCTTGATCATAGAAACTCTCCTCTAAGAACTTCGAAATGTCTACGAAAGATTATTTCATGCTTAGAATGATTCTGCGTACCTTTCAAAGCAGCCCGTGATTATGCTAGAGGAATCTGAATTCCCAGCTCTGGAGCAATCAAAGAGAGGAGCAGCAACGCAGAGCCTGAACTTAGCTATGGATCTTCGGTAGCCCGAGCCAATGAAGGTCACGATAAATCAATGTCATATAAAATATAGTATTTTATAGTGTCGCCAACTTTATCTAGCGTTTGTGGGAGTTGGCAAGATAAGGCTAGGAAGCCTCTGTTTGTGCGACTCATCCTGAGGCTCGTAAGGGGCGGGGCGTTTGCCAAGAAGAAAACGACCGTGAAAATCCACCCGTCCAGAGCACACATTGTCCGGAGAGAAGTCCACAAAGGTTTTGTGCTGTTCTTCGTCGCGGAAGTAGCTCTCGGATTAGCTCTCGGAAGCCACTGACAATGCCGTTCACCCCTTCCATTAACCATCCACCTTGGAGACCACTCCGCATTTCAATCCTTTTTCTCCTGTCACTTCCCCGTAGTGTCCCTGCTCTTTTGATCCTTTGCAAATGGAGGCCGCTGCTCGTCGTCGAGGAAGTCGAGCTAATTCAATTATCTGGTATGAATGGATTCCGAGGATATGCTGGGAGACTTTAAACTTCGCCACCGCCCGCCTCCTTGAGAAATCGCTGGCTTTGTTCGACCTTGTCTGGAAAATAGTGCAGGAGTTCTCGGAGCATTTCCTGTACACCACAAGTGAGTTTCTAGCTTTGCAAAGATTTCACATCAAACCTTGGATTCCCGGTTGCGTCTGGAAGCTCTAGAAATGCTTCGAGCGAACTTTTGCCTGTGTAGCAGCAGCGTCTCGTCGTCACCGGCGTTGAGAACGAAGTGCGCGACGTGGTGGAGCGCGAGGCGGAATGGTAATGCCTTGCGAAGAAATGCTCGGTCCAATCCACCGGTGATCCACGATGATACAAACATGTCCAGTAGAGCAATGCTCCTCTGCATTGAAAAAACAAAGAATGAGCAACTTAAACTTCCAAAGAATGCTTTTCTTCTTACCTGAGGAGGATCGAAGTAAACTCCCGGACCGCACTCTTCGACTGGAGGAAGTAAACTCAGCACCTCAGCTTGAGCGAGGCATCGCCAGACAGCACCCTGGATCGACACGTCCGTGCCACTTCGCAAGTAGAACGCTACCTGGCGGCCAAATCTCAAGTCCCCATACGAAGCAGCCGCAAAGTTCTGTGCCAGTCCCTCCGCGAACAAAGCGTAGTCGGCATCCACACCACTCTGAAAATCCAGAGCTCCTCTTGCTTCTTCGAAATAGATATCTTGCAGTGATCCGAGAGCGTCGCTCACTGGCTCCTCCAAGAACGTATCTCCCGCAGCAAATACTGTCGATAGAGCATGAACTTTGCGGACGATCGGTATGTCGCTTGCTGCTCCTCCTTCCTCGAGGCCCAAGAGCAGCAACAGTCCAGCCAGTGTCACGTCTGAGCTTTTGGAGTGCAAAGGACTGAGGATCCAGTGGCAAGGCAATGGAAGCCTCGTCCCTTTCCACTCCCGCAGCAAAACAGTCGAGTTAGCCGTTTTCTCCTCGTCTTCTTCCTCCGTTTCTTCCTCCTTGATGGTCTCAAGTTTCTTCTTGAGGTCGTGCTGCTTTGGCTGCTTCTTTTGTAGCCAAAACTTGGTGAAGTGCTGGAGTAGAAACTCTCTGCCACCTTTAAACTGCGTCGTATCATACAATCCCTTCCCCTGGTTTATACGTTTCACTGCGTCGTCGAGTGTCAACAGCCACCGTTCCTCCGAAAGTATGTGCCGCGATAACGCTCGCTCCAGCGACGATGGCTCGGTCAGAAGAGCCGTCAAGTTGAGCTTGGTCTTCAGGGAGATCGAGCTCGAGCCTTTTTCGAGTTCTAGAAGACGTAGAATGCCACTGGCGTAAACCCGAGCGACTAGCAGCTTTGAGGAGCAAAATCCACCTCCAGGAACTCTAGAGCTCCATCCAACTCCCAGTCCCGGCGCCGGTCCTCCCCGAGCAGTACAGCCACAATGCTCTTCTCCATGTAACTTTCCCAAGTTCACCATCTCCACACGCTTCTCTTTAGCAATGTCTAGCAGGATGTCTAGTTGTTTTGTCTCTCGTCCCAGCTTCTCGAGTCCAGAGGCCAAGCGTGCGGTAGCATGAAGAAAGTTTGCGAGCGTCAGCTTGGCATAGACTGTAGAGCTTTGGCGGAGAGTTGACACCAGTCGAGCTTGGACGCGATCAAAAGTTTGTTCCACTTGTAAAACGAGATCCGGCAATCCTTCCGGGCGCACCCTCTCGCAAACCGTTGCCAGGAAATGTAGCACAGAGCCAAGAGCCATCACCTCCGCTTCACCACCTTGGCTGCTCTCTTCCAGCCAACTTAAGCCGTACTTCACCATGGGCACGGCTATGCTCCACGACCATCCAGTATGAGAAGCCTGTGTATGTTGTTGGCCTTTAACCATGACGGGAAGTGTTCTAGCGAGAACCTCTAGAACGCTGTAAGATTCTTGTGCTAAGTTGTATATAGCGGGATCCCCTGATGATGCCGACGAGAGCCAAGCAGACAGGGCTGGATGGAAGTCTGCGAAAAGGCTGATCCCAATGCCATGGAAGATGCAAATTTTCCAGAGCCGGAGTGCTTCTTGCAGAATAGCAGAATCCTTGGAAAGGTCGGCAGCAGCAGCTCTTGGAAACATCGTAAGACGATAGCTCCATTCGAACAACTCGGACGTGGCAGTTTGCAGCGCTCCCAGCTCTGCAAAGTGGACACAGTAAGACTTGGAAGCCTGCGACAAGACCTGCAAAAAACGAAAGGGTAAGCCCTGAGATCTAAACGCAGCATTATGGTACATGCCTTTAAGAGTTGTATAGCTTTAGCTCGAACGAGAGGAACCAGAGGAGTATCATCATCTTCTTCAGGTAATAGAAATCGTTGGATGACGGAATTGATAAGCCTCGGACATTCCATGACGGCCTTCGCTGCAGCTGGAGAATGCCTCGCAAAGGCTACAAGAGTAGACAACAGGGCCGCGTTTACGGCCGCATCAAGCTTTTCGACCTGTTAAGTCGGACGTTATTAGATTCACGCATAATCGAGAAACCAAACCTCTAGAATATATCGGATCCTGGGAAGAACACCCATCCTGATAAAACCAGCAGCTACATCTTTCGTAGCAACAGTCGCGTCGTCCGCCACAGTGGTATCACTGTTGTCATTGTCATTGTTGTTCACTTGCGAAAGAAGAAGCTCGGAGGACTTGACGTTGTATTTCCAGTAGCCACCTCCCAAGTAGCCGTCTTCTTCATGATTGCTGCGCTTGCGAAACACTGGAGCAGTCCACCACAATGGCCCGCCCGGCCATGATCTCTGCAACCAAACGTGTGCATCATAAACTGTTTTCACAAAGAAGAACAGCAACTCCTTACCTCGCAGAGGTTAAAAAAGTCATCATTTTGAGAGCTGCTCAGCATAGCCTGTAGAGCCTTGGCACACGACACCACGGAAGTCAGATTTGTATCATCCAACGCAAGCCTGCAAGCCGGGAATGTCAATAAAGAAAGGAAAGAACTGAGGGTAGTTCGTCGCCTACCTCAATGTTAACGTGAGTTCTGGCTGTGGTCCAAGACAATAGGCCCAGACAGCTTGCCAATCGTAGTCATTTCTTCCGTCTTGAAGGCCACTGGCAGCATTTGAGAAAATTGTGCCAAGTAGCTGGACACCAGCAGCTCTATGCGCGGGAACCTTGGAAAAAATTCGCAAAGTTAGAGCCTTCAACTCTGTGGTTTAGTTGAGATAAACACTACCGTGCTTCGTGAAAGTAGTGCTGCCTCCTTGATAGTGTAGCCCAGTGCAGAAGGATCTCCTTCGGCCCGGAGGTAATCCCGCTGCGCAACACTAGAAAGATCTTATATGCAGTATTGTCAGCTCAAAGACCAAGAGAGCAGTAAAAAGGAAAAAAAAAAGATAAAGAAACTTACCGGAATCGTCTTGCATGTCTGTGTTGCTGCTGCTTATCACTTCTCCATCTAAGCCAAATCGCATCGACTTGATAGCTTCGACCCTCTCGGTCCAGGCGCTCGTCATGACTCCGGCCACCACTTTTACACTCTTTTCTTGCTCGTTTGCTCGAACAGGAATTTGCATCTTCGCGTCTTTTGGAGTAGCAGTCGAAGTACTAGTTTTCGCGCTTTTATCGCCATCTTCTGGAGAGATGGGATTTTTCTCTCCAAAACGTTGCTTCTCCTTTTCCATGCCTCGCCTTTGTAGCATCTTTATTTTTTCTGGACCCAGACGCTCGAGCAATTCCCCGTGAGCGTCGGAGATTTCTTGCGAGCTCATCGAAGAAATTCTGGCTCGATTCTCAGCATCGATCTCCTGGGCTTGCGACGGCACTGCATCCTTTCCTTGCGCGGCGGCAGCGGCAGCGGCAGCTACCTCCTTCCATCTCGAATCATCCCTGGATTTCCTTTGCAATGGCCGAGCAGCATCTCTCCCACCTTCCAGAGGCCCGTCGAGCTCATCCAAATCCACAATCTCATCGGAACGAGGAGAGAAAACGCCCCAATGCTGTCTCCAATCCCATGCAAATCGATCAAAATCCCGGCCAGGGGAAAGACAATCGCAGCACTTACCGGGCCGTGAGATCGATGCCGCGCGACTGGAAATGGCAATGCAGTGATCGCTGGCAGCTGCGGGGAGGAATCCCCGGCGGCGGAGAAGCCCTTCTCCTTGATCTCGCCGAGGACGCCGAGCGGCTCGTACTCCATGCCGAAAAACCCTACTTAGTAGCACGCCATAAAGGAAAATCTCGGCCGTCCACTTGGGCTGGATTCAAGCCGTGCATTACTCGCGCGCAATAAGTTTAAATTCTTAGTAACTTTCCAGTTTTTACGATATAGCATCATAGCTAAATTCTAAGAGCGTCCAACACCCACTTGCGATGAAGTCCACCAGCTTGCATAGCCGCCATATAATCCCTATAAACCATAGGCTTAAACACCGGAGAACCCTCCACCAATTCGCTAGCCGGGAGCACTAAACTCTCCCAGCTTGGCCCCATTGCTACTGGAATGGACATTCGATCTTCACTGCTGTTAACCACAGCCCTGTGCTCGGGACTCTTATACTTGTCATTACTCAAAATCTGCAAAAAAAAAAAACATTTGACCAGCCAGTCAACTTATAGTCGACGAAAGAGTCAACGCTGACCTGGATCTGGTCGCCCAGGTTGACCACGAACGAGTAAGGTATGGGCTTCACGGAGTACCACTCGTTACCGTGCATCACCTGGAGACCCTCGACGTGATCTTGGAGCAGCAGCGTGATCGATCCGGGGTCCGAGTGTGGGGCGATTCCCAGCACCAGATCGGGCTCGGGGCAAGCAGGATAGAAGTTGAGAGCCATGACTTGCGAGCAGCCATTGAATGCCTTGTCGATGTAATCCTTTGGAAGATCCAAGCTCTCGGAGATGAGCTCCAGGATGAACTTCGCAAGGTTTCGAACACGAGTGGAGTAATTGGCAGTAACTTTCCTACAAGATGATCATGTAAGAAAGGATTGGGAGGATTTTATACCTGTAAGATCCTGGCTTGTCAGGCCAAAGATTTTGTATCTCGGACAGTGGGAGGCAGCTATGGCGGAGGAAATCTCTCCAGCTAAAGACCTTGTCTTGAGTAATATTGAAGCTGGTTCCATACCTCATTCGTGATTCGATGTCTGTGGAGAAGTAGCGCATTTTCTCCTCGTTTGGGAGAGCATGGAATTCACGAGCCACCGATTGCATTTCATCCACCAAAGAATGGGGAACGCCGTGATTGATCACCTATTAATAAAATGATGGAGATGGAGATTACATAATACATAGACCAAGTGATAAGCAAGAAAAATTAGAATTTTCTTACCTGGAAGAAGCCCCAATTCACGCAAGCTTCCCGGATTTGTGAGACAAGAGCTGCTCGAGCCTTGCTCGAATTCAAGGCGGCGCCAAGATCCAAGACTGGGAAGCTTTCTTCACGATGAACGGCATTTGGGCGGCCCTCTTTGGACTGGATGTAAATGTCGGGCACCTTGTGAAGGCCCGAATCCACCAGATTTTTCACACCTAAGTGGAGCGGAAGAATTTCCATTGTCTTCCTTTGGTAGCTTTTAGGCTTTAGGTAGCACTGGGTTTTGATATATTTCCTGCTGTTCCGAGCTGACTCGGTATAGGACAGGCATTTGGAGACGTTTTTGCAAAAAGAACAAGAGTTTGAGCATCTTTGATTCGGTAATGCCATGAATTCCAGTTTATATATACATATGTGTTTTATAATTTAAAATAAGTTACTTTAATGTGAGCGTGGTATCACTGACTTGCATTATTAATAAAATAGAGCTTAACATCAGAACTAGAATATGCCTAAATAACATGAGTGAATGCACATATATAACAATATAATATATGGAATTTTAAAGTCTTCTACCAACCAAAAGTTAGCAAGTTTTGTTTATACTTTCTAATATGTGAAACATGTGAATTTTTTTTATAGAGAGATAGTGTTACTACCTAAAACTGATATAATTGTTTTCTTAGATGTTTTTGGCATGCAAGCTGGTGACATCCTTTTGGATTTATTTTTGTTAGCAAGTTTATCCCCAGTAATAGTCTTTATTATATCAATATTTATATTTTTCAAACATCTAGTGTGAGGGCCAAGTGTACGGCTACAATGCCGTATACTAATATTAGCGTAGTGGATTTTGGTAGCCATCAGATTGATTTCAATCCAGACCACTCGCTCCTGTATATAAACTAGGGTTTTTGGGCTAATTGATATGCACATTTCTGTATTCCCTTTCCATATTCCATGCACTCACATTGGTGGAGGTGAGGGGCACCTTTGATTGTCCCTGGGGAGTGCTTGGATTTAGGATTTCGGTTTAGATCTAGCTTTTGCATTGTCTAGATCTAGCTTTTTCCATTTCCTTTCTTTTGTTCTTTCCTTTCAAGATTTTGGTTTAGATCTAGCTTTTTGCATTGTCTAGATCTACGATTTCTTTCCAGCTTTTTGTCATTTCTCTTCTTTTGCTCTTTCTTTCTCATTCATTTTCATGGCCGATCCGCAATCTCCTCCTTTGACTCTAGAGCAGCAGTTGGTTCAATTGCTTGATACTATGCACTTGCAATTGAACAACCAAACTCAGTTGATGGCGGCATTCACGGCACATGGTACAACTCCTCCTGCTTTTGGTGCCAATCCTCGCGTTCGGCCGGAGTTCTTTCGTGGGAATCCTGGGGATGATATGTACCATTGGTTCGATCATTTCACGGTGATTGCCACATATCATTCTTGGGATGATGCTCGACGTTTGCGTGAGTTCCCCACATGTCTTCAAGGGACGGCATTGCAGTGGTACAATGGATTGAGTGCAGCTACTCGTGGCGATTGGAGTGTTCTTCCGGACGTCTTCAAACGCGCCTTCGGACACGCCGACGATTGTGATGATGCCTTCCAACAATTGCATCATCTTCGCCAAGGGCCATCTGAGTCGGTGATGCAATTTGGCGTTCGTTTCCGAAGTCTTTTGCTTCGTGCGGAGCCAAATATGTCGGAGCGGATCAAGCTAGGAATGCTGTGGCCAGCACTTCGTCAAGATCTTGTCGGATTTGTGCATGCACTTGCTCCTGCCACTCTTGACGATGCTCTTCGCTTGGCACAACGTTATGAGACGTCGCCTCTTCCACTTCTTGCTACACGTCCTTCAACTCCACTTCCTATGAGTGATGGTCCTGTTCCCATGGAGGTTGATGCTGCTGCTGCTCGAGTCCAAGGACAAGGGCGAGGACGTGGTCGTGGCCGTGACGTTCGTTGCTGGGCGTGTGATGAAGTTGGTCATACTTATCGGCGTTGTCGGCGCTTTCCGGATTGGCGACCTCCATTTCCTGGGTGGAGACCTTGGCGTCAGCAACGTCCCGTTGGTGCTGCTGCGGTGGAAGGTTTGGATACCGAGGTGCATTTGGGAAACGAGGAGTCGCACGAGTAATGGAGGGACCTTGCGCGAATAAGTTAGTGACCCCTCCATCTTTCTTTTGGGAGTATCATCAAGGGGTTCACTCGGCACCGGTTCATCCAGTGTTTACTTTCCAAGCTCGTTTTTATAACAAGAGGTCTCCTATTCTTCTCTCCGTGTTGGTTGATACAGGTTCGAGTTTATCTTCTATTGCTTGACCTGTTGCCACACGTTGTCGTCTACACTTGCGTCGTGCGGCAGATCCAGTTTTCATTCTTTATGGCAACGGCCGTACACAGGCATGTGCACGAGATGAGGCGGACCTGGTTGTGCGTGTGGGCGATCTCGAGCTTGAGTTGCAGTCGTTGCGGGTGGTGCCGAGTCAAGCTTTTGACCTCATTCTTGGTATGGATTGGTTGCAGCACAATCATGCCAAGTGTGACTTTGAGGCTTTTCCCCCTTGTCTCATACTTCCTTATGTTTCATCCATTCCTCTCACTTCCGTACCTCTTCGTCCCTCTACTTCTACCTCTGCTTCCATTACTTTTGTTCCCCCATTATTTCCTCTTGTGTTTCCATCTTGTTCTACTCTTCCCTTTTCTGATCCCTCTGATGATCTTTGTGTTGCAGCTGTTGACCAGCTCATGAAGGAGTATTCTGATCTCTTTGAATTTGACTTATCGTCTGGGGCCAAGATTGCCATACGTCATCCCATTCCAACCGGGGATGCTCGTCCAATCAAGGTTCCTGTTCGTCGTCGGTCACCCAAGGAGATCAAGATTTTACGTGCAAACGTCAAGGAGATGTTGGAGAAGGGTGTTATTCGGAAGTCGCGGAGTCCTTGGGCATGTGAACCTCATCTTGTGACGAAGCCTGATGGGAGTATTCGTTTCTGCATCGACTATCGTCCGTTAAATGAAGTGACGATCCCGGACGTGTACCTTCTTCCTCACACTGCTGATCTCTTGGATCGTCTGGGGCGAAGTCGTTGGTTCACCAAGCTAGATCTTGCTTCTGGGTATTGGCAAGTACCGATGGCTGAAGACGATATTCCTAAGACTGCTTTTCGTACACCATTTGGTTTGTACGAGTTTTTGGTGATGCCGTTTGGTTTGAACAATGCTCCAGCAACTTTTCAGCGGATGATGGACGAGGTTCTTTGCGATATGCCGGAGGTGACGGCTGACTTCATTGATGATGTCTTGATCCACTCGGAGGGGACGTGGGAGGAGCATGTTCGTGATGTTTGTAAAGTGTTGGATCGGCTACGCGACGTTGGTTTAAAGCTGAAGTGGTCGAAGTGCGTGTTTGGGTCCAAGGACACAACTTATCTTGGGTACCGTATTTCTCGTGAGGGTTTGCAAGTTGATCCTGACAAACTTGTGGCTGTTCTAAAGTTCCCTACTCCAAAGTGTGTGAATGATGTGCAGCGCTTTTTGGGTAAGGTGCAGTATCTCGGTCGTTTTGTGGATCATCTTTCCGATCGCACTATACCATTGCAAGCGTTGCTGAAGTCATCAACGTCATCTTTCATCTGGTCTCTCGATTTTGAGCGGGCGTTCGTGAATCTTAAAGAGCTATTGACGACTCCTCCGGTTTTGGCATATCCTGACTACACTCGACCTTTTATTTTGCGCGTGGATGCTTCTGACATTGGTCTTGGAGGTGTGTTGATGCAAGAGAGCTCGAGTGTGCCTGGTCAGCACCATCCCATTGCATACATAAGCCGTACATTACAACCAGCGGAGATGAACTACTCCACGACGGAGAAGGAGTGTTTAGCAGC